CATAAAATACTAAATATTTAAGTATTTACCATCTCTTAATGATTAAAATTCATTACTTTAACAATAATCGCTTTTATGTAATTATTTTGAATTGTGAATAAATAAAAGAATAGAATTCTTCATTTTTCAATTTTGTATTTTCAAATCATATACATGTAATATTAATTATTTAAGGCAGTGAATTCACTGGTATTGGCTCGTTTTTTCTGTGACATAGATTAACATAAAAACAGGTTTTATTAGCATAGTTCAAATGTCGCTAATTCAATATTTTGCAATTTTAGTACCTCATCAGTTCTAAAATGTCGAGTAAAATTCTTTGTACTTATATGAGATGGTTTTCAGAAGATTTAGAAATATTCGAACTTAAACAAAAGTTAAAAATAAGAAAAAAGCGAAACTCTAATTAAAGTTTGAATGTACTAAAAAAGGAAGTAAACTATCATATTTTTTGCAATACAATAGTGAACGGCTTTATAAAGATTTTATTTACAATTATTTACGTTTTACGATATTGACCCCTTTTACAAATGACCGGCTTCACGATTCTGTTATATATATTACAATGTACTTCCTACTGGTAGAACTTCAATCCAGTTCAATCAATCAAATAAATGTCATTAGAGTTAATATTCATCGAATTATCGTGTTCATTTTGTATTACGTCAGTTGTGACGTTACGTTAATTGCTGTCCAACTGCATGATAGTTTATAAATTCATAGAGTATATTTGTTAAGTTCAGTGTAAGATCGGAAAATATTTCACTGAGTGAGCACCAAAAGGTATATTTCACGAGTGGCGCAGCCACGAGTGAAATGTGAACTTTTGGTGTTCGATCTTACACTAAACTAAATAAATTTTCTTTTCATTATATGCAAATGAAGTTTAAAGAGGACATTTTTACCTAATACTTAATGAATAATGCGCCAAATAATTATACAACGTGACGTCATTTACGACGTCACGTTTTTAAGTTGGTTTCCAGTTCTGTGTACGCTGGTATTTCACTGAAACAACGTAAGGGGCTTAAATTCAAAACAGTGAAATTATCAATTTTAATTCACTGACATATTTCTATAAAGCATCGAAAAGCATGTAATAAACATTATTAACAACATTTTATATCAATTTTAATATATTTCTCAGAGAAAAGATTTATACCAAACGATAAATGTATTGTAAATGTAACATAATGTAAAAGACATACACAATTAAAATAAAAGTATAAACATTCAGCGAGTTGCACTGTTTAATTTTGAACTGCATAAACAATTGATATATGTACACATTTACATGGACTGTTTGTGTATAATTTTATTTTGGCATATTTTAAAAGCTTATTTGGTAAAATATAATAAAAGAGTCATACACTCGCGTCGATCCATATTATAATTCTTATTGAAAGAAATTAATTCAACATGAAAATACACCCATTGTAAGATCATATAGAAAACAGTGCTATTTCAATATAATAAGATTTTTCCCCACTAATAATCTATATATTCAAACTTAAACAATCAAGTTTCAAGTTCTTTTTTTAAGTGTATTAAAAAAATCCATGACCATATGGTCATCAGACAGATAACATAAAAAATAAAACAGAAAATTAATATGTTTAACAAAATGGCATAATAAAACAACAAATGAGAATATTATAAACAACGATTGGAGGATGAGAAATTTAAATAACAATGAGACTAGAAATGTTTTTTTTTTCTATTAGAATTGCAATCATATCTATCAAGCAATAACAATCAACATTTTATCAAACATCAATGAATTAAATATATGCACATTGAATCTGACAAAATATAAAAAAAAACTTTCCGGCTTACCATTTATTTATTGTTCTATCTAATATCTTTACCTAGCTATATAACAATTAATAGTATACAAATATGGACTTTTTAGCTGTTGAATATGTTGTGATATGTACTGAAAAAAATAATATTGACCGAGGCGATAGCCGAGGTCAATATTAATTTTTCAGTACATATCACATCATATTCAACAGCTAAAAAGTAGATATCTGTTTTATTATATAATTCATAAATAGCTTTTATATATGGCTTATCACATCTGCCATTGCATACGACGGAAATCATTATTTTTCAGCTTGTCTACTGTTTCCATAATTTGGCCCTTTCCATTGGCATGCTAATCCCTATTGTTCTTATAAATGAAAAAAGGTAACTAAAATAGACTAATTTGACTCTTATGTACACCCACACAAAGTTTTTTTCAGAATAATAACAACAATTTTGGCGTGACGTCACGTAAAAGTCTCGCGTCTTTAAGGGATTTCCAGAAAATCTATTTTTAGAAGAAAAACCGGTGACTATACTCTGAAAATCTATTTTTAGGTAAAAAACAGTGAATATACTGTGATATTGACCTGTTATTTTTTACAAAAAGTTGCTTGTTAGCCAATCAGGGAAAGGCATTTCAAAGCTATTTATAGATTATATAATAGTATTAATTATTCTGTTTCACCTTCCTTTTAATATAAATATATGTAAAAATAACATTGATATAACTCGTATTATTATATATCTAATAAATCTAACCATTCGACAATCTGCATTTGTACCTCGTGACCGTCCAATATATTCCCGCATTGGATCCAAATATAAATAAATATTATTTTCATATTGGACAGTTTGGTACATGTGCACTAATCAACTATGCATACATTTTGACGTGACGTCATTTGAGTTGTACAAACATGGCGTTAAGACGCGCCAAATGTCAGTCAGCGTTATACTATTGTCAATGTGATAAATAAGATAAGGGGTGTCAATGTGATATTCTTAATGGTAAACGTAAGTTGTTAAATGTAAATTTTTTGTTTGTTTAGACAATGTTAACTGTTATTTTCTTTAACTGACAGAAAATGATAAATAGATAAATAAATTCTAAAAAGTATTCGTTGTATCAGTCACATCCTTAAACTTTTGTATGTATACAACAAAACCATTTCTGAATTATTACCTTATCCTTTTAAAAACAATTTGACAGGGGTCACAGGGATATTATCGATGATGGTGGTAATATTGATGATGTGATGATAGTGGTAGAAATTATGTACAAGTGAACTTTATAACATTTTTTGCACATTGAAATAACCGTCAATGTCAATGTCATTTCGAGATCAAAGACAGCAAAATAATTATACAAACACATTCATATTTGATCAAGTTAACATATTGTACATAAAATGAGCATGTGTACGAGGGTTGTTCGGGAATTTCTGGGAATTTTGAAATATCTCTTATATTTTTTGTTTCTAAGACGTTATATTTTGCACATACTAAGATTAGCATATCACGGAACTATTCCTTAAAATTGAATAGAATCAGACAACATTAGCCGGAAATAGCAGTAACCATTGCAACACTATAACGCTGCACCGGAGCAGTCCGACTCTAAAGAAAGGTATAACGCGCTACACTAATAATATTTCGTAATATTGATAACGTAAAAAATGCGCGAAAACGCTGGTCAGCAGCGGAACGTCATGACGTCATTTCCTGAAAATATCATAACGTTATTTAAATTCTCAACGGATCAACATTGTTTTAAAGTTGTTGCCCAGAGCCACTGAGTAAACAACATGACGTCGATAGGTGACGTTGAATTGCGAATCATCGTGAAATTTTGTGTTGCGCTGGAAAAGTCTTCAACAGAAACAATGAAAATGATCAATTCTAAAGGAAAATTCAAGAAATGCAGTCCGGCTACAGTGTATAAATGGCATGCACGTTTTAAAGAAGGAAGAAACTCGAACGATGGTCGATGGACTTCCGTGTGTTCTCGGAGCTCAAATCACAGCTGCGTGGAAAACGCTTTGACTCAGCTGACGATCTTGTTAAGCATACGCAAGCTATATGCTCGTCCTTTACCGATAGCTGGTACATGGAAACATACAATAACTTGATCAGCCGACACAGGAAATGCATCGAAATTACAGGTGACTACGTTGAAAAGGTGCGACGATCGATGGACTTTAACGTCGCATCACGTTGCAAATGACGTCGGCGTGCTCCAGGCGTTTGTTATATGGTTATTTACTATTTTTATTATGTTTTAGTTTCTGTGTGTATGATGATGATATTTTCAAATACTGTACAGTATATATTGAAATAAATGCGTATATATTTATATTTACGATAACCCGACTACAACGTATGCTATAAAACAATTCTCAGAACTTCCCGAACAACCCTCGTATTATTTCAAATTGCAAAAGTATGTACACAAATTGAAATGAAGAAGGAAGTAGGTAACAATATAAAGTTCAATTTACAATACAGCTTGACATAGCCGTATTTCGATAAGATGACAACATTCAGAATACAAACAGTACAATCAAATGTATTATTTAAAAAAATATAGTTTAAGATTTCTAGGTAGGATAAAAATTGTTGCATATAATTTCTTTTAATTTGCATTAGTCAGGGACACATATCAAATTGTAGCGCTATGCTAATTTTGAGAAAGAAATAAACATAAATTATATGTTTGAACGTAATGAAAGCTTAAATAAATGTTTTTGCAAAGCATTTAACAAAAATAACTTTTATACATAAAGGAAGAGGACAAATGAAAGACAAATCTTACATACTTGCCTTATGGTAGTTTTGAAAATCAAACAGATAAATGTTCATTATTATTCCAGGTTATTTTCTTAAATTGTTTGACGTTTATATTATAAATTCTTTTAAATGTACGAGTATACTGATTTACTTCGAAAAACATATTACCAAAATACCAGTTTCATAAACACAATGTCTGTGTACTACTGTACAATCTTCCTTCATTTATTTCAAATTCTGATCTTAATTATTAACATGACAATTTGTATAATAAAAAAGATAAATAGAAAAACCCATTGTTTATTTGTTATCAATTTCAAAAAGAGAAATAGTAATAAGATAATCTAGTGTAATACTTTTTAGCAAATATATTTACAATATGTTGTATCTACTCATAATTGTCTTCATTTCTTTGTTTTTTTACGCTTCTTTCTTTCTCTTGATCTTGCGCCTTCATCATCAGTGCAATTATCGACGCCCGTTCTTGTTCTTGTAGGCGAAACACGATTCCTGTTACGTTGGGACACGCTTGAATTGATCGCTGATGCTTTTCTTGTGGGTGAAGTTCGCGCTTTTTTCTTCTTACGTGTATCTTTTTTAGTGGCTTTCTTGTAATCATTTTCGGAAATATCATCTTTCTCAAAATCATTGCCCCTACTTAAATCACTACCTTGATTGCTATCCACCCAAGCCTAAAATAGTAATGGTGTTTCAGTATAAACCTGTCTACAATATTAAAAAGACTTTCGCACTATTTTATGAAATGAACTTAAGTTAAGTCAGATGAATATTTTCAGAACTTTCCTTGAGTCACGCGAGTTATTTATCGATCGTCCGAAGTAAACTATAAAATCGAAAAACCATTATGGCAAAATTTAAACTTATTTTCATCTATTCACTCATGACTTTAAAGAAAGATTCGATGCTAGTCAAAAGTCACACATAAACTTATATCTTGCGACGCAATTATTTATTATTCCTTATATTCTTTGTGTACTTGCACATTATCAAAACCTATATTCTTACACATTCATTTTGCTTAACACATTGTTCTCATGTAAAATTGATTAACGTCAAAACAATGTTTGTTCAGACAGAAGTTCATTTTGGCGATAGTTATTTTCAAACATGTTCTTGAATTGTCTTATATTAATGTTGATTTAATCTTTAATAAACTTGTTGTTACCAAACATGCTCTGCATTTAAATCTAGTCATTTTTATCTCGCTTACCTGGTGTCTGTCATTTCTACGATATGGTATCTTAGGACCGGTTTCATTAGTTCCTGTTCTATGATCATCCTCTTGTCCACCTAACCTTTCTGGTGTGCGTCTGTCGTTGGACTCAGTGTCATTAGAAGAATTCTAAAAGAAAAAAAAATACATAAGCAAACGAAATATGTGTGAGTTAGTTTTGAAAAATCAGTAGCAATCTTGTTCAGTTTAATTATATTAAAAAAAATTAACATGATTATCAAGAAAATAGAATTATATTATACTGTGAGGTAACCTTGATCTTATTTCACTGACCCTTATTTGGTTATGAGACTGAAAAGGGGGTTTTCTTTTATTTTTATGTGAAAACATACTTCAAGTAATAGTTTTTTTTGTATTTTGATTGCTTTGAAGAAAAAAGAATATTTCTTTTACAATTTTTATTTGTCTCAAGTATTTTAACAAATTCTAAATTTATTTTTTTCCTTTTGGCATGACTGGATTTGAAATGATTTTATGTTTTGATTTCAGGAGCAATGCATCAATTTGACAAAGGTCTTCATCAATAACCTATTTTTTTGTGCAACGTTTCAGACGTTTCAACGTTACAAGCATTTCGAATTCCATGTTTTATGGCTTTTGGACCTTACAGTTCCTTTATTGTTATAAGACATTAAACTTTTAAAGATATTTTGTGAAATAAAAATGCGCGTGATTAAAAAAGATGTTACACATAAATGAATACATATACCAAAATAAACTTAGAACATAACTGTAGTAGACTGCGTTTACCGTAGCTAAATATTATGTATGTTACATTTAATATTTGAAATAATAGAGATATAAAATTACTGGTAAAACAATTGTCACTTATTTAACAGCCAGAATTACAAATTTATAAGTGTACAGTATGGTATGCTAATTAATTGTTTGACAATAATATATAATCTATATTAAATATTTGCATATTTCCTTACTCTATACGTGAATGTATTCATGTTAGCAAAAGAAACATCTTAAGTGAGCGTTCGTTCAGAAAGCAAGTGATGATGAAAGCAGGCCACTGTGCCATATGTCATATTTTAGAAATTTGATGTGCGGTAAAAAAGTTGTGATTTTCAATATCTGTATCAAAATTTTACAGATATGTATATTGTTACTTGTCTTTCTATTATCTTAACATTTTAATCAACTTGTGTCAAATAACGCCAATTACTCACCGCTTGATTCGTACGTCTTTGACGAATAATAAAGAAGACAAAACAACCAATCACGATAAGAAGAATTAGTCCCAAGATTATATAAACGACAATAGAGACAGATGAATCTGCAAAAAAATAATACCAAAGAAGAAAAAAATGTATATATATAAAAGTATTACCAGATTTTGTAATCGCAAATACAGTTACAGAATTTTAACTGTTTAGTACAAGTACTTCTTATAATAGCTAATTTAATTATAAAACGGTATTTCCCTTCCATCTTCTTTAAAATAATTTGATAAGGCCATAAGAATAGAATGACGAGTGGAAACCCTGATGTGTTTGATCTGACTCAAATTTAGATAAAAATAAAGGGATTTTCCGTCTAGAAAAAATTAGATTAAAATATAGAAAAGGAATATAATTTGTAACACTCTACTGACGCTCTTGTTTAAGTTATCTTTGTTTTTAGAAAAACAATTACATAAATGTATAGAATGTGGAACTTGAAATCTACATAATCATCATTTATTTGCACATCAAGGATAAATCTGAATAGTAGACTTCCTAAAAATGCGACAGGAGCAAACTATTAATTTTCGACTTTTGATTTTGATTAATAAATTAATACGAATTTATTGACAGGAATATCTGTATGAACAATATAAATGCTTTTTTGTCATTAATTTATTTACAATCATCTGAAGTTTGCAATACGTATCAAACCACCAATGTCACTAATAAACAGTCGCTCAATCACTCACATTTTATATGCTTGGTAAAACAGTGGAATCTGAAATTGTATAATGATTTATATATTTACCTTTAATTACAATCGTATGTTGATCAGACGATGCGTCTTTTTCTGATTTTGTTTGTGTTTGATTTGTACTTGTGCTTGAAATTATGTCTTGTGTCTCAACTGTTCTCGTTCCTGTTGAAAAATATAGGCCTTTTATTAACACAATATACTACAACAATAAAAGACAAACAAACAAACAGACAAAAACAAACAACAACAAATTAACAAAAAAACCAACATCATTAAAAACAAAACAAAATCAAAAAACAACAACAACGAAAAAAAGAACAAACAAAATTCATACAACAAACAAACAATAACAACAGCAACAAAATAATAACAATTATTATTGTTGTACGATGCTGTGATGTCACAATTAAATGTTTTCATTTAATTAACTTACCAACAGTTAGAAAAAATCCAACTAAAAGGATTGTTTTGATTATTTGTTGACCATTAAACATTTTGAAAACTTTCATAATCCATTTTAAAGAATACAACTAACTAAATTGAGCGTCAGTTTTTCTATACATCTGAATGGTTTTATATAATAAAACAGGAAGTGAAGGAATAATTCTTTTGTTTCTCTGATTTATATGTACGTATGATACATGTACTATTTAATAGGAATATAAAGATTTGTTAATTCGTTTAAACGAACCCTTACCTTTATATTAGTTCATTATAATAATGAGCAAATTATTATATTTGCAAAATATGGTTTATTGCTTTTATTTATGCTCAATAAAGATGAACGTGAGGTTTACAAGCTTACACAGTCCTGATTATATGAATTAAAACATATTTACATTTTATTCAGTTATTTTATTTAATATGTTTAAATATGATTTATTTAAAAAAATCTCTTACAGTATTGGCATTTACGCTTTTTTTCTTATTTCTGATAATGTTATTCTATGTAATAAAAATAGCATCGAAACACGAGAGTATCTGATTGGTACGAGGGGGCGTAGTCACAAAGTATAAATCAGATTGTCGAGTGTTTTCATGTTCTTTCTCTTTTATATCATAGTCAAACATAAAACACGTTCCCTGTTGTCACATTATGAAACCAAAGAAAAAAGTAACCAATAAACGAGCATCTGAATATGAATTTTTTGTCGCTTTCCTGTTGTTCTCTGCCGTCAAAATAAGACCCTTGCAAAAATGAGCCAATCAATGGGCATGCTCTGGAGTGCGGGTAACTAATACCTGCATTCCAGTTAACGCACTGTGCATTGTATATGTGTCCGATTTAACTCTGACACATTTTCAACAGAAAGGTCCCAAAACTATGAGGGTTGCACTTAAGCAAACACGGGTTATAGTATGGTGAATGTCTGGCGGGCGGGCAGGCGGGAGGGCTAAAAAAATCGTAACAGTTTTCTCAGCAACAACTTATCACAGCCTCTTGATAATTAGCATACATCATTGACAAATGGTTTTATACCGTGGGATTCGATTTCAGGTCTGTCGTTCATCCACTTCTTGTTTACCTACTTAGTAAGATTTTCAACATTCATGGTGAATGGTAGGAAATTTTCGTAAAAGATTTCTCAGCAACTACTAAACACAGCCTCTTGATAGTTGGCATACAGCATTGGCACATTATCCCATACCATGGGATTCTTTTTCAGGTGTGTAGCTCATCCACTTCCTGTTAACCCACTCAGCTAAATTTTCGACATTAATGGTCATTGGTATTTTTTTTCGTAACAACACAGCCTCATAAAATTTGATGTACAAATGCAACCCGGCCTTTTCTGTCTTTGACCCATTTTTTATTGTTTGACTCATCCTAGAAATGATCTTTCAAACAAGACTGCTTTATGAAAAAAAGTTAATATATAATATATATAATATGAGGTAATTATCATTGTAATGATTCTCTTCGAAAAACGAAAACCTATTTGTTATAATAATAGACGTGTCGCATGCCACAATTGTTTAGAATTTTGTTTGTTTTGGAAACGTCAACTGTGAAGGAATATATGAAAATATTGTTCACCATTAACGCCAGTAATCCCTTATTATGCTATTCTTTATTTTTTATTTCATTTTCTTTATTTTTTGTGTCATATTAAAGTCCTTTTCAGGTTTCAAAAAAGTTATTCTTCCTCGAGCTGAGCAATCCTTTGCGTTTTGCAATTTGGCGTTTGGTACAATGATATTGATTCATGTGATTTGTATGGATGTAAAATACAATTTTGTTTATTTTTGCTACCATTTTCTCAAATATGTCATTTTAAGTGTTATCTTCTCCAGGCGATAATAATCTTACATGTTCTTATTCTAGTGTTTAATGAATGAAGAAATATTAAAGCTTGTGTCATGTGCCTTTAAATTCAAACTATTGCATGGGCGAATATAACAGGAATTGTTCGTGTGCAACGTTCCATCTAAAACACATGTATCAAAAGTTTTCATATATTGCAGTCGAAAAGAAATTGAAAATATTTTTACATCTGTTTTTAGCACGAATCGTGTTGAACCGAATGTAAATGAACAATATTAAACTTTTAAATAGATGCTGACCCTATTGATACTAATACAAGGATTGTATTTATTTCAAATTCATTGCAAGAATATCTATAAGAATAAATATTATTAATATGTACAAGAAATATGACATATGACTGTAAAGAACAACACACTGAGCGTTGTTCAGGGGATGCAGCCCCGACAGTTTCATATCGGGAATGCACTAAGCATGCCGCATAAAGAAATAAACATGGCGTACATATAATAGCATACACTATCATGGTTATGACAAAGTCACGTTTTGTCGCCACGTGAAAGTTCTTACTAGCCCCGTGAACGTAATTGACAATTGACAAAATAACTGGTCCTTTGTTTGCTAACAATTATGGAAATAAAAGTGTAACTTAACAAGCCTACATTCCGATTATGTTTTAGTAATGCTTTGGAAAGACATGGGAATTTCCAATTTGTAATTGAACATTGAACAGATATATAACTTGGCATCAAATTAAGTTTGTCTTAATATTCTAGGGTATATAGAAATTGTATAATCAATTATACTCGTATATGTGTATAAAGAATCTTCTGCCAGTAGTTTACAAAATTATTGCTTGAATGATGGTAAGAAATGAATTCCAAAATATTTGAATAAAAGTAAAATGTTTGGATATGTCCCTACGAACACATAAAACAAGAAAAAACCATTGCTTAACGTTTCAAATCGGTCTGAGGATAGCAACATTACATCTTGTTCCGGAATATTTCATTTTACCTACGTACAATATTAATGTGTATAAATGAAAGGTACAATTCTTTCGATAATCGACCGTAAATTAGATTACAAAAACAATATAGTTTTACCATTTATAATTTTGATAAAACTATGTCATTAGATATAGATTCACATCCATTAACTTCATTTTAGCTATTTTGTTATGTATGAAAACGTTGCATTTTTACAATTCGGTACAAAGACATTTTCCTCGTATGGTTATATTTCCGTACAGGAAAATAACAAGAACAACAATAGTATTGTATTTGAGATTTAATACAGCATTCATTCAGGAAAAGATGTTGCAAGGAGGAAGAAATCGGGTCTGATAATTCTCATGAATGTTTGAGTCTGTTTATATCTTCTTATAAATTTATGATTATTTGCTTATACATTTATGTTTATTTTTTACTTGGGTCATGTATGATGTCATTTACTTGTCTGAGAAGACCTGCAGGTGCCCCTTCATGCATTAAATTGCAGGCATGACCGAAAACTCGTTAGTAGAACCATTGATGTCCTTAAGCTAGTTGAATAGCTTCCCTCCGGGCATGAAACAATCTAAAGTCCAATGAGGACAAGGGATTTGAACCCATAGGGTTAGGGCAAGTGGTTTGAGGTCAACGACTTTTACCACTCGACCTTGGAAATCCCAAATTTAAATCAAATGTTTTAATCACAAAGATGTTGATCTTTAATATATTTTATTATTGTTATGGTGTTAAACATTTGTTTCTTTAATCCAAGACGATACAGTTAAAAATTTATTTGTTTTAAAACTTCATTGCTTATTTTACCTTTGTGCACCCACCAGACATAAGGGAGTTAATTCCTGCATGCATTCTACAGTAAGGTCAAATTGAAATTATTACCGCAGCCAATTACACCTTAACAAAGTTTAATCTGAGTTTATCAGCGGGCAGGCAGTTGGGGGTAAAAATGCTATTCAGGTATAAAAAAATAAAAAGATAAACATGAATATGTTTAAGAAACCTTCTTTAACCTAGAAGTCATGTTGATAATTACTTTTCATAAATCATTTAGTTTGGCATTATTCTGAATCATTGAGGCAAATAACATATAGTGACTCTACGCTGATCATATGTTTCATAAGATATCTTTTGTTCCTATTAAAAGAAAGTTTAGTTTATGTGAACTACACAGATCAGATCAAAGATTATTGATTTAATATTGGCAATAAGCCATAAAATATTTAACGCTGATTTACAGAGCACAACTGTAACAATGCGAACTTGATTATGTTTTGTTCATAACAATGTAAATATACCAGATATACGACATATTCATTGAACCAACTTTCTCTTTACTGTTAACAAAAAGGGTTCGCATGTAAATAATAATATGACTTGTTCAATTTATCTTTATTATGATCAAATGTACATAATCAAGAAACATTTTAATAAACACACAATAAAAATAATCATAAAGGATCCATTTATTTGGATTCTATTCATAATCAGTGTTCACTTCAAAAAGTAGCAAAGGCAACGACGAGTGGAAATTTGGCATTTTTGACATCGTATCGTATGACTAAGATGGCAGCAATTTACCTTTAGAAGAATTTAAACTTTAACTTACTTTCATTTACATTCAATATGCTTATTAAATACTTCAGAGCTATTGATGGAGTCATACCATTCAGTATTATTTTTTAGACAAAATGATAAAAAGGCAAAACTTTGAACAAGGTGCTTGTTCAACTTCGTATGCATATTTTTTCGTGAACAAAACTTTATGATTCAAAAATTTATTTGATATCAACAGGTTATTAACCACTACAACATCACTACTTTTCGTTAAAATATACCATTAATCTTACCTCAATTTGCACACATTGTACAAGAATAAAAAAAACATCAAGAAGGTCAAAACAAAAAAGTGAATATAAGTGAAATTATACGTATACACACAATCAAAATATATACGAAATAAAAAAGGAAACAACAGCAAAGGAAAAAACCTACAAATTGCTTTCAAATATAGAACTTACTTAGAAATATATACAAGTATAAGCCGCTTATCGTGTCATTATCTCTTTAATACATTTATCAGACATGTTATCAATTGTTTTGATTAGATTGTTTTATTTCGTCTTCAAATTACATGTGCTATTTTCTTTTCTTTTTAGAGTGTCCCATACTCTCTTTTTTACGTTGCTTTTTACTCCTCTTTTTCTTTTTATATTTCTTTTTCGGTTGAGCTGATTTTTTTTTCGTGCACTGATGAGAAGCTATACCATAATAGCAGTCTAAAGGATAGTGTTCAATCGCATTTCTACACTGAAAGCATTTTAGTGTAATCAGGGTTCACTTATAATATCACAAAATTAATAAATAGAATAGAGTTCTATTATTATTTCAAGAGTTATTTTGTTATTTTTGTTGCATATTAGAAACCATTATCCATGTATTTGGTTTTTTTTAATCTGAACAAGTCCTGTCCGCGGACAGCGTGCTTTACTTTTCTCAGTTAATAGCAAACGCCATAAAATGTCTCATAATTCTACAAATTACTTGCCCTTGATGGCAGCAAATAGTTTTAGGATTATCTACAATGATGGCGTATATTTATGAAAATAATATTTACACAAAGTTTTAGGGGAATAGCTTTAACAGTTTTTGAATAGACCTAAACCTAAAGGTTAACCAACGCCGACGTCGACGAAGAGAGTGTTATGACAATTATTCAACTGTTTTTTCTCCGAAAAGTGGAGATAAAATTTCAGTGGTAATATTGATGTGTTAATATAATATTATGAAAATTTCAACAAAAACTACAGGCATTAATAATAGAAAGCTTGATGCACACGATATAGGCTTACAGTTGTATCAAAATGTTATAGAAAACATGGATAATGCACATTGATATTTTTATGCCTTTAGTTATATTTTTAAAATATATAAAAATGATTTAAATATTAACATTTTGGGAATAACAACTCACCGCTTGCTTAAAATATTTTCTTAGCATGAGATAACATGCCGGGATGAGAAGAATGATAACAATCAATCCAAGTAATATATTACACGACAATTAAAGTTTGGTGGACTCTGGCAAAAAAAAAAAAAAACAGTATCAAAATGTGAGATTATACCAATAATATGTTTACCCAATTTAAATATTTGCAAGTTTACAGAATTCACTCTCTATTACACCTAAAAGTGTATAAAGCTGTATATCTGCTATAGATATGTTACTTAATGGTTTTAAAGCGAATGACACGTGCACAGAATCATGCTAAATAGATAAAACCCTTCTGTTTAACGTTTTGGGGGAGTTTTCATGTAGACATATCGGCAAAACAAAAACTGTTCGACAAAACTAAAACTTTTCAATAGAATTCCTTAATCTTGGCATTCTAATATAATGTGGTAACAGAAACATTTAAAGTTAAAAATATGGAAGTCACCGTTCTCGGTTTTGAATTATCTGCCCCTATACTGGACCGTTTTGCTTAATTCAAGGGTGGATAATTCACCACGAAGGTATACAAACCTTGTTTTCTTTATATTATGAGTCATTGTATAAAATTACATGAAAGAATAAGAATTATATTAATTTTTGCTTCTTCTATTTTTCTCTAAAAGATTATTAAAGATTTTTTGTTGTAATCAAGGATGTAACTTACAGTTAGGTGAAGTTTTATAATGTGTATAATTATTCTTCCAAAACAATTTCCAAACGTCCAAAAATATATAAAATATGTACCCAAAATGTTTATATACATTCAAATCAAAAGTAGTATGTACTTTTTACAAATACAAGTTTTTGTTAAAATTTTCATAATATTATATTTACACATCAATTTTACCATGAATAAATTCATTTAAATTTTATCTCCACTTCTCAAGTATTAATTGAAAAAAAAAAAACTGGCGAAGACATTATCGAAAATAAACTAACTAACATTTCTTAAAGTGTTAAATTCGGTAAAATTTTTTATAAATAATGTTTTTTGAAACTCCCCAAATATTCTTTAAATTTTTCCCATTTGAGCACCCGTTTTGGGGGTGATATAAAACCTAAAAAATTGCACAAAATGGTTTTAAAGGGTTAAAGTCCCTTTTTTTAAAGGAAAAATTTTTTTAAAAAAAAATTTTCTTTGTTTATGAAATTTATATATTTTTATCAAAAACCAAAAAAGGAAAAAATATAATAAAACAAGAAAAGAAAGGGTTTTTTTGAAAGACGAATTTTCATGTTTTATTTTATCTGCTTTTGCCCGTAAAAATAATTAAAAAATTTTCTGATTCAAGGAGGACGGAATACACAATAACTGAAAATAGGTAACATCCACATGTTTTGGCTTAAAATGTTTTGTTATCATATCATATTTTAACAATATGCAAAGGCTTTTATGAAAATTCTATCGAACAGTTTCTAATCTGCATATATGTTTATAATGAAAATCTCGAAAAAAAAACGTCCTTTTTAAAGCAGCACGCCTCAAGATTAATGCTTATTTTCATGAAAATTTGAAAATGTAATTTAAAGCAATAATATCGTATTAGTAACCCAAAAGGGAAGCGATTTACACATTATCAAAGGCACTTATCAACCCACCGTTAATTATAAAAAGAGGTGAAAATTATGCAAAAATTGCACTTACTGCGTTAGTAACGCAGTAGAAATAAAGTTACACATTATGGAAAAATTAACCATTAATCGCTCATGTTAATTATTACTCGCTCCAGTCTTGAGTCTTTCTACTTTTCCAAAGCTCATAGTATATTTTCCTCAAGTTTAAATTTATTGAAATATTTTCGATCATCTGGAGTCATACTGCTTTAAAACAGAAGCATAATTATTGTATAAATATACTTTATAAAATGAGCTTGATGCCCTTTTAATATTTTTACAATACTTATAACTGTAGCTTTGGCAAAATCATTTGATCTGACAGGAAGAAGAAAATCTTTCTTTCAGGGTAATATTGCAAAATTAAGAAATACAAAAAAAACAAAAAAAAAAAAACAAATTTGTAACAATCATTCGCCGCCATAGGATATGTTTCGTGTTTAAAGAAGATAATTATATTAATGTATAGAATGTAGAAATTCAGCAACTGTCTGATTATCATTTATTTGCACATCAACGCTTGATCTGAATAGTAGACTTCCTAAATGCGGCAGAGGCAAAATTTACGTTTTTAATTATAAATAATTCTTATATAATAAATCTATACGGATTCAGTGACTGATATATATGTGTATGAACAATGCACATTTTTTTCTTTTTTAAATTCATTTATTTATTTACAAATATAAAGCTAGCAATACGGATCAAACCATCAAATTCACAGATAAACAGTTGCTAACATACATTATATGCTTGGAAAAACAACAAGAAGAATAAAAAATTCTATAATGATTAATATATTTACCTTCGATTACAATCGTCCTTTGGTCAGATGATGTGTCTTCTTCTGATGTTGTTTGCGTGTGTTGATTTGTAGTTGTGCTTGTGCTTGAAACTAAATTTTTTGTTGTCTCAACTTTTGCCGTAGCTGTTGAAAGATGTAACCCTTTGATAAAATATCCCCCCAAAAAATAACAAAAATAAAATAAAAATAAAAAGAACAAAAACAAATATAAAAAAATACAAATTAAAAAAAAACAACACCAAAACAAACAAACAAAAACAACAACAAAAATCCCCAAACAAACAAACAAAAATACAACAACAACAACATAAAAAAATATTAAAAAATTAATTAGAAAAAAAAACCCTAGACAAATAAACAACACTAAAAAATTGTTGTACGATGTCACAAATTAATATGTTCATTTATTTTACTTACCAACATTTAGAAAAACTCCAATTAAAAGGATTACTTTGATTATTTGTTGAACATTAAACATTTTGAAAACTTTCATAGTCCATTTTTAGGTATTAAACTAAAGTTTAATAGAAATGCAAATGTTCTTTACATCTGAATGATTTTAAATGAAACAGGAAGTCTTTTTCAATAATTCTTTCAATAATTCTTTTGTTTCTCGACTTATGCTTTTTACTTATATGAATATATATAATAATGTACATATATTTGCTGATTGCTGATTCGTTCAAACGAAACCCAATACCTTATTTATTAATTTATTATAATAAATGAAGCGAATTATTATTTTTTGCAAATATGGTACCTTGTTTCAATTCTAAAATAATATTTCATACAGAAGATCAACTTAACGTAAAAAAACTAGCATTCCTAACTATATATGATATAAAACATTTACATATTTACATTTTAAACAGTTGTTTTATTTGATATGATAAAATCAGCTTTAATTCAAAACGCAAGAAAAACTCTCTTTTAAAAAAAATCTTGTCCGGAACATAACATGAAAACCCTTGGAGATAATTTGTTTTAACTGCCAAAGTGGTAAAGGATATAATAGATAAACATTCACTTTACATCTTGAATTGTTTATGAAAAATAAAATGTGCCCACTTTTTGTCTTTGTCTGTATGTTCTTGCCTTGCACTTGTCCCTTTGGCTCCTGCTTCGGGGAGCATATATCGGTTTTACCCATCGCCATTTGATCTTACGAATAAATACTGTATAAACGAACTTAACTAAGCCTTTTTCTTTGAATATTACATGTAAACTAATATTTCAAGTTTATTCTTTTTTTAAGAGGAATTTAGGGCCTCTAGTGCATGTAGCAGAATCATAAAAAAAATGTTATTGATAACTCATACTTCCGGCAAGATATTAGAGGGCTCAATTTGGAAATTTGACTCATCCTAGAAATAATCTTTCAAACAAGGCTTTTTTATACACCAAAAACCTTAAATATGCGGCCTCTACCTCTATTATGAACCACTTTTGGAAAACCAGTTTGTTATAATAGAAGACATATCATCTGCCACATGGTTTAAAATATTTGTTTGTTTTGACAACGACAACTATAATGGATAGAAAGACTGTATTGTTAATGTTATTATTTATGTCGATAATCCATTACAGTGCTTATTTGTTGATTGATTTTCAAAATGTTTTCTTCTTCTTTTACTTTTGGTGTCCTATTAAAGTACTAGATTTAAAGTTTTCAAAAAGTATTTACGCTCATAATTTGCATGGATGTCAGAATATCGTTTTGTTTCCTTTTTGCTACCTTTTTCAAACAATATTTCATTTTCAGCGCTATTTTCTATACGCGATTATGATCTGACATGTTCTAATTCCATTGTTTAAAGACAGAAGAAATATATATAATATATATTTGGCATATATATAATAGGAATTGCTCGTGTGCAACGTTCTGTCTTATACTGCTGTAATAAAGATTTTCTTATATTTCCGTGAATAAGTGAGAAGGGTGATAACATTGTTTTACATGGTAGTTTAGCAGTTGTTAATTTGTTTAAATTGAATGTAAATGAACAACGTAAAATCTTCAAATAGATACTGACCCTATTGATACTAACACAAAGATTTTATTTGCAACAATATCTATAAGAATAGAAGAAATATGAAATATGACTGTAAACTTAAGAACAACACGCGGCTCATTGTTTATGAGAAGCAGGCGCCCGACAGTATCAAGTCGGGACTACACCAAGCAGGCCACATAAAGAAACAAAAATGGCGTACATATGATAGCATAAACTATCATGGTTATGACAAAGTCACGTTTTGTCACCACGTGAAAGTTCTTACTAGCCCCGTGAACGTAATTTATACACCGTTTGAGACAATTGACAAATTCACTGGTCCTTTGTTTGCTAACAATTATGAAAATAAAAGTGTAACTTAACAAGGCCTCATACATTCCGATTATGATTTTTTAATAATGTTTTGGAAAGACATGGGAATTTCCAATTTGTAATTGGACCTTGAACAGATATATAACTTTGCATCAAATCAAGTTTGTGTTAATTTTCTAGGTTATAAAGAAATTGCAGTTATCAGTTATATATATAAGTGTATAAAGAATATTCTGCCTAAAAAAATATTGCTTGAATTTTGGAAAGAAATTAATTCCAAAATATTTGAATAAAAGAAAAAAGGTACAAGCAAAAACCAGCATTACATTTTGTTCCGGAATATTTCATTTTACCTACGTACAATATTAATGTGTATTAATGAAAGGGACAATTCTTTCGATAATCGGCCGTAAATTAGATTACAGAAACAATATAGTTTTACCATTTATAATTTTGATATGTCATTAGATATAGATTCATATCCATTAACGTCATTTAAGCTATTTTGTTATGTATGGAAAAGTTGCATTTTTACAATTCGGTATGTATCAGTATGTATAAAGGATAATGGTAATAATTCCGTACAGGAGAATAACAAGAACAACAATATTATTGTATTTTAAATTTAATACACCATTCATTCAGGAAAAGATGTTGCAAGGAGAAGGAAATCGGGTCTGATAATTCTCATGAATATCTGAGTCTGTTTATATCTTCTTATAAATTTATGGTTATTTGCTTATAAAGTTATGTTTATTTTTTACTTGGGTCATGTATGATGTCATTTACTTGTCTGAGAAGACCTCAGGTGCCCCTTCATGCATTATTGCAGGCATGACCGAACTCGTTAGTAGAACCATTGATGCTCCTTAAGCTAGTTGAATAGCTTCCTCGCATGAAACAATCTAAAGTCCAATTGAGGGATTTGAACCCATAGCGGTTAGGGGCAAGTGGTTTGAGGTCAACGACTTTTACCACTCGACCTTGGAAGTCCCAAATTTAAAACAATGTTTTAATCACAAAGATGTTGATTCTTTAATATATTTTATTATTGTTGTGGTGTTAAACATTTGTTTCTTTAATCCAAGACGATACAGTAAAAATTTATTTGTTTTTAAAACTTCATTGCTTATTTTACCTTTGTGCACCCACCAGACATAAGGGAGTTAATTCCTGCATGCATTCTGCAGTAAGGTCAAATTGAAATTATTACCGCAGCCAATTACACCTTAACAAGTTTAATCTGAGTTTATCAGCGGGCAGGCAGTGGGGGTAAAAATGCTATTCAGGTATAAAAAAATAAAGATATACATGAATATGTTTAAGTAACCTTCTTTAACCTAGAAGCATGTTGATAATTACTTTTCATAAATCATTTAGTTTGGCATTATTCTGAATCATTGAGGCAAATAACATATAGTGACTCTACGCCGATCATATGTTCATAAGATATCTTTTGTTCCTATTAAAAGAAAGTTTAGTTTATGTGAACTACACAGATCAGATCAAAGATTATTAATAATATTGGCAATAAGCACATAAATATTTAACGCTGATTTACAGAGCACAACTGTAACAATGGAACTTGATTATGTTTGTTCATAACAATGTAAATATACCAGATATATGACATATTCATTGAATCAACTTTCTCTTTACTGTTTACAAAAAGGGTTCGCATGTAAATAATAATACGACTTGTTCAGTTTATCTTTATTATGATCAAATGTACATAATCAAGAAACATCTTTTAACAAACAAACAATAAACATAATCATAAAGGATACCATTTATTTGGATTCTATTCATAATCAGTGTTCACTTCAAAAAGTAGCAAAGGCAACGACGAGTGGAAATTTGGCATTTTTGACATCGTATCGTATGACTAAGATGGCTGCAATTCCCCTTTAGAAGAATTTAAACTTTAACTTATGTTCATTTACATTCAATATGCTTATTAAATACTTCAGAGCTATTGATTGAGTTATACCATTCAGTTTCATTTTTAGAGGCAAAACTTTGAACAAGGTGCTTGTATAACTTCGTATACATTTATTTTTTCGTGAACAAAATTTTATTATTCAAATATTAGTTTGATATCAACAGGTTATTAACCACTACAATAGCACTACTTTTCGTTAAAATATACCATTTATCTTACCTCAATTTGCACACATTGTACAAGAATAAAAAAAAATATGAAGAAGGTCAAAACAAAAAAGTGAATATCAATGAAACTATATGTAATGCGTGAAATCAAAATATATACAAAATAAAAAAATGAAACAACAGCAAAGTAAACACCTACAAATTGCTTTCAAATGTACCAATCAATGAACTTAATAAAAAAATATGCAAATGTTAGCCGCTTATAATGTCATTATCTCTCAAACTTGTTATAAATTGTTTTAATTAGATTGTTTTATTTCGTCTTCAAATTACACCTGCTTTTTTTTCTTTTTAGAGCGACGCATACTCTTTTTGTTACGTTGCTTGTTGCTCCTCTTTTTCTTTTGATATTTCTTTTTTGGGTGAGGTAAGTTTTCATCTTCTATCTCAATCTTATCGGAGTCATTTTCAACTTTGTCTCCACGTCTATCATCGTTACTTCTAGAGAAAATATTCGGTAAGCGGAAAACATTTTGTTGGGCTCCAGGACGAATGCTCACATAGGATTCATCACTATTTATGCTTTGTCTCAATGACGCTGGACGATTATCATTAATAGCACTTTCTCCATTTGACTCCACAGGTTGTACCTTGAAGCACATACATGCTTATATAAGTTTATTTATTTTTACAAAGGTTTAGCATGTATTTGTTTAGGTAGTTATGTAGCTAATATTTATTGAATAACTGATATTATTTATTTAATGTTTAAGGGCCTCAACTAGTCTACTTTTCAAAGTGTTACAGGTCACTTTTGTTTTGGATACAATTTGTGCATTTTATTTGAAGTTATACAAAGCTCTTGCATATAATGTACATCTATAATTGTCAGTACTGTCATACATCAACTTATATTTCTATTAAGTTGGAATTAATATAGACATGAATTAAATAATACCAACAACTCACCGCTTGATCGGTACATCTCTTACGCACCAAGAGATAGATAACTGCACCTGTCAGGACAGTGAGAATCAATCCCAAGAATACATACACGACAATTAATCCAGATGAATCTGCAAATAATGATAAAAAGACAAACATTTTTTGAGAAAGAGGGAATATACAATATATTGTATTTGTCAAAGGATGAGACAGCCTTACAGAGACTCGAACATTGGACTCTCGAGATACCGTAGTGAGCTATTCGGTCGCTTACACACTTTCTCCCCTATTTAGTGAACAGTTCAATTTCGTTTCATATCTTGTTAACTCACATAATTCCTAATACTTCTTCAATTAAAATAAGGATAAAAGTGAGTCATTTCTATTCGAAAAAAATATGGCGAAAAGGAAACACACCAAAATGACCACTGAAAACTCAAATTGTGTTTATAGATGCTAAAACTGCATTTTGACAGATTAAGACATTTTGAATTCTTTTTTATTTATTTCAATAATACAATAAAATGTGCAATACTCTTTTGATGCCCTAATAAGTGTTTCCATAGATTTGTTACAATGTAGATAGCCAATAACTGCATGACAACTAATAATTGAATTTGCATATAAGCACTTAATCTGTATTGAATACTTTCGAAAAGTGACAGGAGCGAAGTAAGAATAATTGAATGTTATGATTTTCTTTACAAAATTTTATAGTAACAATACTTGAATATTTATGACTTTCTAAAACGTGAACAATTATCTGAAGTAAGCAATACTTATCAACTCATCACATTAACTTTTAAATCCTCACTTATTAACACCCATCATATTTTTTCAAAATGTTAGAATATCTAATGATATATATGTATATATAAATCTTCTGACAAGAAACAAACGTCATTTATATACATGTATTTACCTTTGATAATAATCGTTTGGTGATCAGATAAGGTGCCTGCTTTTGATGAAGTTTGGTAATTACTGGAAGACGTTGTAGGTGAAATAAGCTCTATAGAGGTACTTGTCATCGATTGAGAGTTTGATGAGCTTGAAGACATGTCTTTAGTTAACAAAGAAGACCGAGATGTATTGGGTAGGTTGACAGAAGTTGAAGTATATTGAGACGTTGAAAACAGTATGTCAGTAGTTGTTCTGGAAGCAGTAAATGTTGGTGACTGAATAGGTGTTGTGGTTCCCTTGTTTGCAAGTGATGAATGTAAGTAAGACGTTGCCACTGATTCTTCTGTCGGAATGTACATTAAGCAAATATCGGTTAAAATCAAGAAAACAAAATAAAACAAATAAAAAATAAACATAAACATAAAAAAAAGAAACAAAAAAGAACAACAAACAAACGAAAAAACACACAGGGTTAGAAGAATGTGCAGCCTGACCGAACCTCGAGCATGGGACCCTCGGATATCGTACCGCTGATATACCCGGCCGCTTACACATTTTCTCCCCTAATAAGTGACGATTCAATACCGTGACGTATTTGTTGATTTACATTTTTTAAATTCTTCCAGATATAAAATACATATAAAAAGTCCTTCCTTCGAAAAATAATATGGCGAAATGGAAACAAACCAAAATGATCACTGGGAACTCTAATTGTGTTTGTGAATGCTAAAACTGCATTATGACAGATTAAGACATTTTACATTATTTTAATATATTTCAATAATACAATAAAATGTGCGATACTCTTTTGATGCCCTTATTAGTGTTTCCATAATTTTTTTTAGAATATAGATAGTCAACTGCATTATAACTTATAATTTGTATAAGCATATCAGAACTTAATCTGTATGGAATACTTCAGAGAAGTAACAGAAGAGAAGTATGGAATTCTTGACTGTTATGAATGTTCTAATGAATAATAACAATCCTTTCTAAAACGTAAACAATTATCTAAAGTAAATAATACCTACCAAATCAACACGTTCACTCTTAAAAAGTCGCATATTAGCTCCCATTATATTTTTTCAACATTTTAAAATATCTAATTAAATCTTCTGACAAGATACAAACATAATTTTATATACATGTATTTACCTTTGAAAATAATCGTTTGGAGATCAGATAAGGTGCCTGCATTTGATGAAGTTTGGTAATTTCTGGAAGACGTTGTAGGTGAAATAAGCTCTATAGAGGTACTTGTCATCGATTGAGAGTTTGATGAGCTTGAAGACATGTCTTTACTTAACAAAGGAGACCGAGATGTATTGGATACGTTGACAGAAGTTGTAGAATATTGAGACGTTCTGGAAGCAGAAAATGTTGGTGACTGAAAAGCTGGTGTGGTGATCTTTGAAAGTGATGATTGTAAGTAAGACGTTGCCACTGATTCTTCTGTCGAAGTGTACATTTTCGTTGTTTCGATTATAGTAGAAGTAACATCAAAGGTATCTGTTCGTTCAGATAATGTGTCAAAGTGACCGCTGTCACTTTTAGAATACTGATGAATGTAACTACCAGTGGGGGTTAAAGTTATTGAAGTCGTTGTTGAAGTTTGACTTTGTATTGCTGTGATTGTACCGTCTGGAGCAGCACTTGAAACTTCATTATGTGTTGAAGATTCAGTCGTTACTTGTTTCATTTGATATCCACATTCTATTCTTAAAGTCTCTTTCTCCTCACCTAGAAAACAAATTCCCGTAAATGAATACAAAATGAACGAATTCGTATTACTTATTTCTAGTACTTTAAAATAATGAATGAATAATCAATGATAAAAAAGATTTCTTAACAACATAGTTTATCAAAACATGCTTCACTTTAATAAGCTTCATCAGTTGATATTATACAAATGTAAACTGATTTAAACATTTAACATAGATGTTAATGTAAAACATTCAATATTTAAGTACATAGGGTATTAAGTATTTATGTACAAAAACTTACTGGAAAACCCAATCCATATGTTTCCACCATCTTCCGGCAAATCGTTTTTGAACGTCAATGTTACAGCGCGGGTCTTTGCAGCCTTGGTAACATTGAAGATTGTAGCTGACGCACAGTCCAACAATGTAACACCATTAGAATCAGTTATGTTGAGTGTTTGTTTACATTCATTGCCGTACTTCTCTAGACGAATGTCAATTGAGTAGAACTGAATGCTTTGTCCGGTCGTTGTAATTTGGCACTGGCAAAGGCCAATGAAAGATGACACGCTGTCAGGGTAATTGGTATTGTAAAGATAAAACACATCATCGCTTACAGAATAAGTGTTTGTGGAACACAAATTGCCAATCCTCGTGCCTATATTGAAAATATAATTTATATTTTATATTTTAAAAATTCACATCTGGCAGGCAAATCCCCGTAATCATTTAACTGTATAAAACTTATATCCTTTTGTGTTTACATAAATTCGCAAGATTACTGTTGTATGGACAATTACAATTACGACTTTGCATTTATAAAACTGATTTAATAAAGTAAGCATTATATCAAAACTTTCTTTCTTTCTATGACATTTTTTTTCTCCAAAAGGAAGTACTGCAAGGAATGGAATGGTCTATTTGAAAATCATTTTTCCATTCAGCTTCTGTTAATGACGTAATTTAAACAAATAAAAACGTACGTTCTATACAAGAGAATTCAAGGAACATGAAATGAGTTGCTTCTGGATAATGGAATTGGTCTTCTTGGCAATAAGTTGGCGCCCAGGTGACATCCATGTTTGGTTTGCTTTCTGTATACCCAGACGAGTTTTTATGATATAAGTAGTTAAGTCCTGAACTGAAGTTAAATAAACGTTTGGTAGACTATGTTAATATTTTATAAATGTCACGTTTTATTTTTGATAAAACGAGAAACAAAACGTTATTCAAAATGTCTTGTTGTTTGCAAATAAGAGCTATCTTATTTCGTTACAGTGTTTGGACATGTAAACACATGCAAACACGAACATACACAATTTCCTAAAATAGACACTTTACTTATGAAAATTTACGACAAAGTCACACAATATTACACAAAGTATCGGTTTCATTAATTATTTTTATTTTGGTATATTCAATTTATGTTCAATAATATCAGTATATCTTTGTTTTTTCCAAACTTAACTAAAATAAGATAAAGCAGAAATCTCATACTTGGCATAATTAAATTCCAATAAACAATCCACGGAGTCGTCTGGCAGGCAACATGCTGTTTCATTAAGAACGTTGGAAATATTTAAACTGTCTACTATCTGGTCATTCACTTTGGTAACAATAGATGGGCAACCACTTGAAACCGGTTTTGCTCCAACCTTTAACTTTTGAATGGCAATAATCGACTCGTTGTTTGGACATGATGGACGGTATTGACCATGTGTTGCTGCCGGACCATGGCATACAGAGTTGTGGCTGTCAAATGACACCAGTGGTTCTGGCAGGATTTGTGTGGACGTTGAAAATACTGGAAATTGAAAGATAAATCCTAACCTTTGTCAATTATATATAAAGTAACCAAATAAGTATGAATTCGTTGAAATATTTCTGAAAGCCTTCAGTCAAATTTAAAAAATAGATTAATTATAAATAGATGAATCAACAAATGAGTTGAATGAATAGAATAATAATGACTTGATTAATTACTAAAATATTTGTTTTATAGATGAATTAAAAGAAGGAGGTAATTGAATACATTAGAATAATTAATAATGTAATATGAATTATTTCGTTCATACATTTTTAATAAATCTTCAATTATATTACATCAATCAATCAATCAATCAATGATAAAAATACCCACCCACAATAAATGAATAAATAAATAAAAAATAAAGAAAGAAAGAAAGAAAGAAAGAAAGAAAAGAAAGAAAGAAAGAAAGAAAGAAAGAAAAGAAAGAAAGAAAGAAAGAAAGAAAGAAAGAAAGAAAAGAAAAGAAAAAGAAACTAATAGATAAAAAAATAAATACAAAAAATGAATAAATAAAATAAATAAATAGATAAATAAACAAATGAATAAATAATTTAATAAACAAATAAATGAATAAATAAATAAAATAAATAAATAGATAAATAAATAAATAAATAAATAAATAAATTAAAAATAAAATATAATCAAAAAGATAAATAAAAAGATAAAAAATAAATTTATAAAAATGATTTAATTAACAACGTTGCACATAAAGAGTTTGTGATATTTTTATTCGTTTCTAACTGATAATCAAGATTGTAAAATCCTGAAATGACCAAAAAGAATTAAAAAGGTCACTTGCATTGACTTTAATAAAGAAGGATGATCATCAATATCTTAATTATTCTCTCTAATTTCTCCACTAGTTTATTTTATTTAATACATTACTCAAATATACATTTTTAAATGACATCCGATTTATTTGTAATGCGAACAAAAACACAACAACAACCAACACAACTGATTTTTTTCATTTTTTCCGTTATATCATGGACTTTACGTGTTATTTCAAAATGTTAATCAGTTTTTTCAAACATTAATATGTACAGCGCGTATCTCGATGATTATGAAAAGAACAAATAATATAAGGCTTAGTAATTATTGAACTGTACAGTTAACAAATGAATATGAAATGGAATAAAATTAAAATAAAAAAATAAGGAAAGCGATGCATATACAATGTATAAAAAATACCCGATGGTCCCATATTTCTAAAGATTGTTCTTTCAAAAAACAACAACAACAACAACAACATCATCATCATCATCATCATCATCAACAACAACAACAATAAAGACAACAACAAAAACAAAACAAAAACAAGAAACAAACAAAACATGTACAAATAAAAAACAAAAATACAAACAAAAAACCAACAACAACACCCCCCCCCTCCAAAAAAAAAGTACAGACGTACGAATGAACGAACAAGCAATTGTTCTTATCCGATGACAATTCAACAAATTGTAAGAACGTTTTTTTTACCAAATTAACAAGATATAGGTCTTAAAAATATAAAAAAATGTTCTACTTGTGTCGTACTTGGTGTACTGTCAAAATTTTATAAGCTAATGAAATTTACTCACCCAAATTTAGATAAATTCCTGTAAAAAGGAATACTTTTAATTTAACGCTATAACATTCAAACATTTTAAAAAATATCTTAGTCCATAATAGAAAATTACGATTGCTAGTTCGACAAAGCTCTTCTACAACTGAATGATTTTATATTGACCAGGAAGTCAAGGTATAATTCTTTTGTTTTTTCTTATTTCAATTTACATATACTTTATGCAAATAATAATGTAAGGTTTAAAATTCGCTGAAAGTAAATCTTCTTTCATTTAGTAAGACGAGTTATTCTTCTTGCCTAAATAATATATTCTATGTTTCAGAATAAATATCTAATAAAAAATCGTGAAATAAATGAACTGAAGCTTCCTTAGACATCTTGTTAGTTTATTTTTGGTATAATGACCAACATTTAAACACTTATTTTAGACAGTTGTTATATTTAAAAACGTTTAGAATGAACATTTATATCGACAAAACAAAAGTTTGCGATTATTTGGAAACATGATATATATACGGAAGCGTATATATATACATGCTGTTCAAATTTATTTGTTTTTGCTAAATGCTGATGTGAATAAATAACATGAAATGCCCTTTTTCAGCATAATTCGTATCTTTTTTAATGTTTAACAACCGACAGATAGAAAATAATATTTGAAAAATAATACTCAGCTGGGGGCCGCTAAGAATTGAATTGACAGGTCAGCCAGCCAATGACCGAAGCTAAAGACTGAGGTCCGTTAAGTAATTGGGACCGACTTGTCACCAAAATGCTATGACGTATAAAGTACAGTGTGTTTTTTTTTTTAATTAAAGCACTTTACGGTATTAGTTCCACGAGGAAGGAAATCATATTGTTTAAAACTTGTTTGGCATTGCGCGTTTTTAAATATACCACTCGGTAACACGCCTCCAAATATATGAGGTGACGTCATCTTTAATATATATTACCCCAAGGCCCGCTGAATTTTGTACAGATAAAGAAGGAACACATACATGTATATGTACGGTACAATAGATCTGATTTCAACATATAAAAAAGCATTTTTATTTTCCTCACTAATTACAGATAAGCGTACTCGTACGATTACTTCTAATCACGACAATTTAACAAAAACTATATTAGTGTGTTTAAAACTATCAGAATTTAAAAAAGAAATTTTGGAAAAATCACATATTTTAATAGTGACTCTACTGGCGGCATATGAATTAATCCATGCCTCCAGTGCAGATTTAAAACCCCCGCAGTCTGATAATGGTAATCACTGTTTGGTATTCAGTCTTTATAAATATTTTATTTCACTAAAATAATCAATGATTTTGTCTAAATAAAGAGGAAGATATTAAGATTGACAATGCTAAAAATGAATACTTAGTACAGAAAATGACAAAGATGGCAACACGTGAGATAAAATAAAACTATGATATAATTTACAAATAAAATGATGCACTATCATAGACAGCCTTTAAGCATCTTGTATTTTTGTTAATCAAATCTAAAATTATAGAAAAATAGTTTGATGTCAATTCAACATGCAATACAATACTTCGTTTGACTTTTAATATTTCATTTAGCATAAACAGTGCGTGAATCCCGTTCAAAATATGCAGAATGTTGGGAAGTATAGTTAAACAATATCTATATTTCAAAACTTGTCATTTTTATATTATTTATTTTAAGTGTAAAAATCACATTACACCTAAGATAAGAAAATAAATTACTGAACGAGTCAACCATTTTGATTAAAAGGGAAATGCATAATTTTAAAATCTGGTGACTTATTGAATATAATATCAATTGTAATAAACCGCTTTAACGATTGGATAATTGAAAAGAAGACAAAAAAAACCCATTCAATTTTGACAATTACAAGTGACTTGTATGAGTAAAGCACATGTTCAATTGATCGTGAATTCATTAAACAATAGTCGCATACTCTTGAGAAATATGTATTGTTAAAACAAGGAAGTATCAAATTAATTATCGACCTACTTCCAACTAGACTACTTTCTTGTGATCGAAAACAAGCTTTCATTTAATTGTCGGTATTAATATCTAAACGAAAAAAAGACAACTTACAAATATATTTTAATGTATGAATAAATACTTAATACACAATTGGTCAATTTGAAGTTAATGATAGATGAATAAATAAATAAATAAATAAATAAATAAATAAATAAATAAATAAATGAATAAATGAATAAATAAATGAATAAATATGTAAATAAATAAATCAATAAATAAATAAATAAACAAAGAAAGAAAGAACAATAAAATAAAATTCGCTACAAAATAAGAAAGAAAATCTTTAATATCATTACCTTAAATTTGTTAGGTTAAAACGTATTTCTGTTTCAATCTTTGTAAAATGAAAATTTTAACATGTCAATTTTGACCATCAGTATGATGTTTCTGCCCTGGATGGTCTACACGTGTCCACGTGATCATGATAGCCGATCAAGTGATGTTAGCATTGCATCAGGTCTATCATTCTATTTGAAAATTTGTGGAAATCAAGAAAGGTCGGCAACCTAAGTATCATTTTACAGCCTCAATCATTATCAGCCCTGGATGTTATCAAAAAATTCAAAATAATGTTTAAAGGTAGATAACGCATATTAAATTGTTGGCCTTCCTGAAAATGCTTATCTATTTTTTGTTGCAAATATTGACCTTGATTTCAAAGTCTAGATTTAAAAAAAACCAAGCAATTAATAACTTAACATATCAATGTATCCAGTAACCAAATGTCACTTCACCTGGACTATCACATGGCATTGACATGTTCCCAAAGCTATCAATAGTATCAGAAATCAAGCGATAAGACAAATTTCATTATGTAAAATTAAACTGAATCAAGGTTGGGTAATCGTTTTGAAATCAGAAACGTTAAGGTTAACTTGCTTCTTACGGCAGAAATATTTAAGTGAAAACTACCTCATGCGCAGAAATTGCAAAAAAAAAAAATCACATGGAATGCTTTGTTGCAAATGCTTTCTTTTTTTTTATAAAAAAAAATTATAGGCAACTTAACATAGATGAACAGTGCAAGCAAAATGTTTAACTTATATTGCATTTTCGGATTCTTTTCGTCGTTTGGTAAGTTATTAGAAAAGTATACCAATTTTAATATTCTTTGTTGAAAGTTATAGCAAAATTTGCAAATACTGATTCGAATTATGGAAAGTCGTTTCAACTGTCAAGGAGTAGTTTGAACTATTCGAGAACTTATTTGAACCGTAATACTTTTGAAAAGTGAAAGATTTGTTTAGTTTAATAATTGTTTAATGTATATTTTGCACATGATTAATTTACACAATCTACCATCATTATCTTAAGCATATAAATTTAATGTACATACAAAAGGATTTGACCAAAAGTTATACCAACATTATCTTGGGTCCTTCCATAAAGGTCTATCTTGTTGGCGTAATATAAGTGTGGATTTTAGAAGTTCTAAGATATTTATGAAATAATTGATATAATTTACATATATTTCTAATTGGTAAAAAAGAAATCGCATACCTAACAAAAAGAAAAAAGACAAACAAAGAAATTACAAAATGATTAAATAAATTCGATTAAATGAAAAAAAAAATAAATATATCATATGTCATTAACAATTAGCCACTATAACAAACGCACCGAACCTTCATTTGCGCAGTTTTTCAATAAACCTAAATATGAAACTAAATATAGGACATCTACAAACATATTAAGGTAACCCTTCTACTATTTTTGATGAAATTTTGCACTTTTTGAAATAGTCTTATATTTCTGCTTCTGCAAGACCATCAATACTATGTAAGAATTTCTTACTGAAGAAAGGAAAGAATGATCTGGTATTCAAAAAAAAGTATACGTCTTTGCATTGTGTATAATTTACATCGAAAAAGCAATAGTGCTCCGCATTTTCGATGTCTGCGCCGCTTTGGTGTAATTGACTTGAAACAAAATAGCTAATAGAAAGATCATTATTTAGGTTGCTACAATTGTTTCCAATCCGGGTTTGGTTGACATTTAAGAAAAGCTCACCGTATAAGAAAAATGTTAAACTACTGGTGGTTTATATTACTGTTTGATCTTGTTTTTAAATGTAGCTAACGACTGTGACTTGCAATTTTTTATCGGAAGATTATTCCATAATTAAATAGCATATGGAATTACAGATTTTGAGTATATGTCAGTTCGTTCGGCTAAAGAAATGAAGTCACTATTATTTCTTAACGAATAATGGTTTTCTAACGCCATCTCGATAATTAAATTATATTTTCATTAATATATTAAAACTAGTTTTTGAATTTGCCGTTACTTAACTAGTATATAAAGAGGCAGTCTGAGCAATATGGGAGCAAACTGTATCTTAAGGACCAGTTTGAGATGTAAAAACATGTGAGAGTACATAGTGATGATGCTGTTTGAGTGTCAAAAGATCATTTTGAATCGTACGAAAGTTGTTCGAACTGTTAATGGGCAGTTTCAACTGTATATGAGCAATCGGACCCATAAAAAGAGCTGTTTGAATTGTGAGGGAGCTGTTTGATATATGACAGAGCTCGAGATGATGGAAATGGGAGCAGTGTCAAGTGTAAGCAAACTTTTTGAAGGAACAGTTTGAGCAGTTCGGAGACAAATTTGATTATTTAGGGCCCTGTATGAACTTTGAACCAGGAATAGCAGCAGCTTCACCATCACCCCCATCATCAACATATTGATAATACTACAATTTCTTTTTGAATAATACTTTTATCTATTTTTCAGCAATAGCATCTGCATATCAGATATTACCAGAGCCTTTGATCCCTTACGACCGACACAACTCTGCATGCTATGGTCCAGGCACACATGAACAGCTTCGGCTTTCATGTCCAAACAATGAAAGTGTCATTGCTGTACATGAGGTACGTGTAGGGTCTAAACTAGCAGAAAGCCGTTGTCCTACAAGCGTCTCGAAGGTCACGGACGATACTGGAAGTTATCTCGTGGACAGTTCTAATACCTCGATCCTTCTCAATGAAACGGCTTGCTGCTTTCCAGATGAGGACAACGACTGTACACTTTTGTACAACTACGTAAAGTAAGAACATAATCAAATCTTGAGGTGTTGTGAACGAGTAGGTAAGAAATTATCTTTCCATTTGTCATAGATATAACAGTATCATTCGTGTAGAAAAAACCCGAACAATGCGTTTACTCTTGAAATACAGAATTGAAGTTGTTCTGTCTACTTTTCAGTCAAAATTATTTAAAATTATTTATAAATCAATCGATGAATCTTAAAACCCCCGATATTTTTAATAATATACTTTTGTCAGTATACTCAAAGACAGATTTAATACATGTATTATAACGATTCAAAACCCTGATATTTTTAATATTATACTTTTGTGATTTTACTCAAAGACATATTAAAAACATGTATATTTATTATAACGATTCAAAACCCTGATATTATTATTATTATACCTTTGTCATTTTACACAAAGACAGATGAAATAATGTATTTATTATAAGTATTGAAAACCTTGATATTTTAATATTATACTCAAAGACAGATTGAATACATGTATATTTATTATAACGATTCAAACAGAACATACAATCAACATCATAAACTACATCTGCCAGTTATATGACAGCCAATATGATTTTCTATTTCAAATGAAATATTTCAGTTCTGGTATAGATTACAAATATCATATAATCTCGTCAGGATATTCTGAAAGTAAAACAAGTATGGAAGTTTCTTGGCAGACGACAAATTGTGACAACTCGTCTACATATCAAACTGGCACGAATTTCATGTACTTTGACTACTCGTGCATTCCACGTATGCTTTGTATTTTAAATTCAATGCAAATCAATAATCTGATACACATCGATTTTGTTCGGCAAATATTGTATTGTTTATAAAAGTTTCTATCATAGGTCATTCCATATTGATGATTCATCATTTTACCTATTAATTACTTTCGTCACTTTGACACTTGCCTTTTAATAATATATATGGCAATTTTTCAGTTTTAATTACAAAAAACAAAATCAAATAGCAGAGCGTTTGCTAAATAAAGTGTTTATTTTCTTAAATCTAGCTTAAAAACACATATTCTTTAACTTTAGTTTTATGATTACTTATTATTGAGATTATTTGTTTGCTTGGTTGGGTGAAAAAGTGACAGACATAAAATGACATTTTAACTATTTTTGTAATGGTATGTTTCCGTGCATTTTCAACCTCAATATGCTAGCCTAGCGTGACAGCTTCTTCGAATTCAAAACACTTGGCGGCGTTCGATCCTAAAACGATAAAAGCAAGTGATTTGACCATAGGCCATTTAAGATTATGATATAAAAATTATTAAGAAAATAAGGAAACATTGTGTATATTTTCATATTGCATAGGGACCAGAATCGGCAATATCTGCTCAAACCGTTCATTTAAGTTCACGGACGAAGCATTTTACCTCTACAATGGCAACTACCCGGACAACGTACCATCAACAACGGATTTTTGCACGTGTCAAATCCAAACAAACGGAACAACTATAGAGTTCTATTCAATAGATATGCGTCTTGAAAAGTACAACAATGAATGCAAGCAAGCACTAAATGTGACCGATTCTAATGGGACAACTGCGTGGGACTGCGATTCAGCCCAAATCTTTAACGTTACAAAGCTTGTTATGGGACAGACAGTAACGTTGGCCTTCGAAAATGATCTACCTATAGACGGCGGATTTGTTTGGATAGGTTTCCATGGTATGTTGTTACACAAATCTTTTATTCTTTTATAAAATGAGCAACCATCAATAACAATACAATGAATAAGCATAAAACACGTTAAATTTAAACAAGCAGTTTTTATAAACATACACTGATATTACTGATCGTATAATATAAATATTAGCAACCATTGATAATGGATAAATAAGGGAAATATGTTTGTCAGTACCTATATTTGAATGGCGTTCGGATATAAGGAATTCAATTCGTACAAAGGAATCAACCATCGAATACATGAATAACAAGTAATAAATTAATTGATATTCATTAATATGAAATATATTTTAAACAACTAATTCAGTCTAATGTTCAATAAATATTTCTGTTATTATAAAATCTTTACAAATTATAGGTAACAGAAACGACACACTAGAAATTGAATGTAGTTACGAAAAAAAGGTATTGTCAACAACGCCTGTTGTTTTTACCGCAACGATTACACCAAGTGATACTCAATCTGCCTCAGACATCACACCAAATCTTCCCGGAATACATTCAGTCACAAGCCTTTCTATAAGTACCACTGCATTTTCCCCAGCTGTAACAAACTCAGCTTCAGACATCACACCAAATCTTCCTGAAATACATTCATTCACAAGCTTTTCTATGAATTCAACGGATTCAACAAGTAATACTCCTCCCACGGCTATTATATCAAGTACAATCGTTACTACATTTGAGCATGAATCAACTAATGTTAATATTTCTGTCACTAAGTCTTTGTCAACAAGTACTAGCATATCTGATCAGCCGCATCTTGAGATTATTTCAACCGCAACAAATACAAGTTTATTTTCACAGCCTCATCTGGAGATTATTTCAACCGCAGCAAATATAAGTTTTTTTTCATCAGCAACTTCTTTATCTGCCACGGAATCAATATTATCAACTACACACACAAGCAGCAAAATATTCACAACACCTCATCTTATGACGACGCCTATGATTAATGCAACTGACACAACGACGGCATCAGAGCAAACCCCACAAATGAGCAGTCTAATTTCAACAACTCTCTCACCTACCCGACAAAAATATACTAGCGTTATTCCACAAACCGCATTCCCTGTAACAAGAACCACAATAGTTCAGGAAAAAATTGTTGTGGTGAAAGGTAGGAATTTTTTATAATCATTGAATTCTTTATGACAAAATAGGAAAGCTTAGCACACATGTACGTAAATCTCACAATAAAACAAAAATATATTATATATGTTATAACAAAAATGCCCAATATTGTTACAGCTTACTTGAATATATTTTGAATATATATTTTTCTGGTTGTATCCAAATTGAATGCAAATAGTATTACCTTTGACAGCACTCATATAAAGTAAATACTTTTTAAAAGATTAAATACGTTCACATCTGCTGTTTGTGATTAAAAGATATTATTTAGATTTTGAAAAAGAGTAATTCTAAATATCTGTATGAAAGAAATATGTTTATATATTTTTTTCAGAATTGATATTATACTTCTTAAAAGTAAATATTTCATTCACAAAATTATTGCTAAACGGTTATAACAGTACTCATCTTCTTTATGTAGCTGCATACATTTTTGTTCGAGAATATTTTGTTTTGTGTAAGCATGTATATATGAGTGCTAAGTAAAAGAGATATTCTATGTTACAACTGTTGAAAATTGACAATGAGATAAGTGAAACAGCGCAATTTTACCTTTTAGAAATTTTATAGATTTATTTCATGAGATAAAGCTTGATTAACTTTAAGCATGCACTAACTGTGTTGAGTCTGTTGTTTTTGACAACAGATACAAAGCTAATTGTTATCGTATTGGTGATGTGTGGAGTTCTGCTACTTCTGGTGATAACACTTATCATCGTCATTGTACGTCTCCTAAAGAAACACGGAAAACCACAAGTATGTGATTGAGTTTTTTATAAAGAGCCTTATGATGGTATTACAGTCTCAAACACTAAAACAGTGTTACTGCGCCGTAAAACCAAACAAAACAGCAACATAACTCTATTTGAGAGTAAATGCTTTTCAGTTTTGCACATTTAAAAGGATCCTTTGAGAATAAAATGAGAGAGTGAATGATCTTAAATTTTGCATACAAGTTATTTGGCCAACATCGAATGTAACATAAATCTCGAAAAACATTTTCATTCACGCCATGTCAAAGAGAAATCGCAGTTGTTTCCCTTTTATTGATATACATTTTTATTTGCTATTTGTACCTTTGTTTTAAGTTAATCTTACATATTTCTTAAAATTGTTCTTTTGTACCTGAAAAATTAAATAAAAGAGTATGTTCTGTTATGTTTTTCCTAAAAAATCAAAGGCAAACGATACACATAATAGAAATCTAAACACTTTAAAGAAAAAAGATAAATAACTGTCTTACAGTAACAATTAAAAACTTTCAAATTAAAAAGTTGTTAAACATAGAATTATTATCCTAAAACTTCATGTTTTAATTTAACTCGATTTTCAAATAAGGTTAAGCCTGATGATAACATGGAAGATAATATTGAAGTGAAGGATGGTGATTTAAATAGACAAAGTCGTGTTGAGACTGCGGACGAGACTAAAGATAAGAACACGTATCTTGTTAACAAAATAGATAACAAAGACGCTAAAGATTCACAGCAGAGCGGTTTTGTAAGTAAAAGGTTTACTTCATACATGCTCATATGATTTAGTTTTTCATCGTTTATCGCTTTCCGTCGTCTTCTATAATCGTAAAAAACAAGTGTAGGTCCTTTGTAATGAAAATGAAATGTTTGAAATTACACATATTTTTTATCATTTCTACTTTACTATGAAAGCTTCCCCCATTTCCTCGTCGCGTAAGAACTAAAGTAACTGAAGTTCAGTCATACTTTGACCTGTTACATTCTTGCTCTAGAAACAAACCAAGTTAATCAGGAAAAAAACCAAACAAGAACCTATTGTTTATTGCCGTTGATGTATGTCAATACTGACACTTCCCTTTAAAATGTTTTAATTAGTAAGACTATGTAAATGGGAGAATACAGGTCAACTTAAGTTAAAGGTTTAAACTGTATTATTTTATTTAAATATTAGATTATGAAATTTGTTATGTACATGTCTATAGGTTTTACCCGGAGGAGTAGTAGGGCAATCCGAAAATGTTGAAGCGGATGAAGATGTAGACAAAACAGATGATAGAAAAGTACCTTCTGATATTTCTGTACATACTTTATTCATTAAAATGTAGCAAATAATTTTTATAATTACAGTTGTACATTTATTAATAACAGAAACAACTGTAACTTGCAATGAAATTAACATTAATTAACAAGTAAAATGACCATTTCGAACCCATGTTATACAAATATAGTTAGACCTGAATTGTATGTATCACAATTGTTATCGGGAATTATACTTAATGTTTGCACATTGATCTATAACTTAATTCGACAAAACTGTGAATGAAATTCCGTAATCCCTTTAGCAGACATTGCTGTAACATCAAGTAGAAAAATATATATCACATCATTCGTGTTATCTTAAATTTTCATGTTTTCATTTTGATTTTTATCTCGTAGTCAAAGGAAATATGTAACATGCATTGATGTGATATATAATTCAAACACAAACATAGTGTTATGGAGCAATACACTACCCATTTATCTGTTTATATTGATATATTATATATCTAGAATATGAAAGGTAATACTCTTGCCTTGCAGGTCAACATCGCTCATGATAATAAACAATTAAGGGAAAATCGTGCTTCGAAAGTATCTCTTCCAGATATTGCAAAGGAAACAAAATATGTGTCCAATATTGGAGATATGCTAGGAGCAGCACTTGGTGAAACGGACCAAGACGATGAAAATGAGAAAGATACGTTGGAGGAGACAGAACATATCCCAGGACATACACACTCGGGGAAAAGACATCATACTCGAAAGTGGAGAAAGAAAAAGCATACAAGACACTTAAAGAAGAAGGAACACAATCTTTAAATTGATGTGGTGGTCCATTTGGATCATAACAAAAGATGATTATTAAAGATCGGGTAAAATATTGGTTGTTTTTGTGATTTATTTTGGTTATAGGTTATATAATATCTTATATTTTGCGTGAAGCCATTTTAGAAGTGCACGTGATCGACAAAGGTATTTCAAACCGACATATATACCTGCTTTCCTTCAAAAGTGCTTTATTTTCGTTCAACTTTATTATAAAAATGTGCTGTAACGTATTAATGTGTTAATTGTACAACATACATAAGGTTAAGAAATAAAATCTTGACATCGTCTATTTCAGTATTACTGCTTTAGACATAAAAAGTCACATTTTTGATGCCAGAAATCCTTGTTATTGATCTATGTTTGTTTGTTTGCATTCGTGTTATTGTTACTTCTTTTTTTCCCCTCAAAACTGGTTGCCTTTCTTTGCGTTTAATCATTAATTTTTGAAGTTTCCAGATTTTACTAAAATATAAAACGTTTATTTTGTAAACATTTGTGTTTTTGTAAAATTTGTAGCATGAATTGTCATTTTTGGCGACGATTTATTTTGTAATTTTGACTTGAAACACACTTTAAGATTTTACCATTCATTACAATAACCAGTTATCAAAACACTTTAACACTTCTCGGAACGTTGCAAGCTTGTATAATCTCTGACTTGTAATTGGAAATAAAATTCAAATTTTCCGGGCTGATTTCTATAAATTTATATGAAGTATATTAGAGCGACAAACCTTATTTTAAATATGCATTTTTAAATGATGCTGCAACATGGTTTTGTGTTTTTCAAAATGAACTAGTTCTGTTCATATAATGATGTTCAATATATGTTTAAAATGGTTTCCATCCATATCATGTTCACACTTTTGATTGTTCAACTTTAAGATTGGCCACATTTGTTGTGCATCTACGCATATATACATGCATAACATTTTTTCCGACTTATACTTTTACTTGCATTTTGTTTGAAATAATGTGTATTATCATGTATGTGTGTTTAATATTGGATAAACAATATATCGTTTATACCTACTAATTTGTTATGTTATACTTATAATTTAGTTGAATTCGATAATTCTGCAGTTTCGTTTCTTGCGTTGAGTCTAAGGTTGTGCAATGTACTCATCTAGCATTTACGAAGTATAGTCAAAGCATTCCCGGACTGGAACAAGATCCCAACAAGTTGACGTACTTTCACTATGATAATACACATATTGTCATCTTCCGTTGATACATTTATGTTTTCCCCACGTTCCTTTTCGTAAAATATTCACCTTTGAAACAGCAAAAATCTGAGGCTGTAAAAATGAGTATGATGTTAAAGAAACACTTTTTCCAATGCCTTTATTAAATTTTAGCATCATATTTCTATTCTGTCTGTCAAACTAAATATTTTGTTTATAATAAAGTATAAAAGCATCGCAAAAAAGTACGACGCGCAAAAATACGATGCCTATTTTTGTACATTGATAGAGAAGACAATAGTTGTATGGCGAGCATCATTTCGAAATTTGTATTTAAAATGATTTAAATTTCAAAAAGTGAATATCTTTGCGTAATACGTTAACATAACATCAATTTTACACAGTTAAATTTAACTAAACTTGAAAAAGAGGACTTATCCCGTTCAAATTTCTCTTTTGTAATGAACGTAATATCAATATCAATACTGCACGTAACGCATGGCGTTGAAAAACAATAGAATGGTGCAATGACAATGTAACAGTCTTTTTCAGTTTTTGTTAAGTTCATTTATTTAGGTTATTCGTAATGTTAATCTACCGCATAACATTTCTGCTATGCTTCAATGAGATTTGAATGAGATAAAATTAGATTATTCCAAAAAGCTAAATATATATATACACAGGAAATTCATTATAAATTTGAACTATTATTCAGCTTTGCAGTTTTATTTATAGATAAGAGTTTAAAGTAGATTTGAATTGAAATGGAGTTATATGTAAGGATGTTACTAAAAACAGCGATTTTAGTGTTTCAACTTAGTAAGTATACCTAAACCGATGCCCACAAACCATGCACAAGTGTGTGATGTATTTCAAACTAACGCGGATTCGAACTTGAAATCTTGTAAGACGATCAAAAAGCCTATAAATATTGAACATTATTAATTTGGAATTGTCAAGTAATTCAAAGTTGTCCCATGTGGCATGCAGAGGCCAGCTTTTGTTTTGATTAAGGTTTTTTTTCTGAAATATTTAAAAATAATCGTTCAAAAATGAATAGAAAACCAGCAAAATACTTCATAAATCCTTGAAATAATGGAAGTGTATTTGAACTTAAACATCATTGTGTCAACACAAAAGCGTATTAAATAAAATTCAATAAAATCACGTTAATGACATAGAAATTAAATGCAAATATAAATATACTTAGATTAATAAAAGGAATGTCTTTAATAAACGCATGTCTTTGTTGTATTGTCAAGTAGTATTGCATTTCAAAAAATTAACTATATAGCTTACATTGTAATACCATTCACTAAGTTTAAATCAAAGTAAATATAGATTTCAAACAGACGTTTAAGTTACATGTTAATTTCGTATCATGATTTGTCTCTGTTCGTTGTACGACAGTATGTCAATAGTTATTTTTGTACAATAAAGGTGCATGTAGCTGATATCTAAATACAAGTCAAAGTTTAATTTGGAACACAAGTCATTGCATTGATAAATATGCTGACCTTAGAGTTATTGCTTAAACAATGACGATTTCATTTACTACTGACCATGAAAACTGTTTACATTAAAACAAAGGCACAATGACATCAATTGATACAAACAACGAAATAGAAACATAATGTCTACATATCAAACGGGTATATAAGTACGTTAAAGCTGTATTTCTCATAATAAGAGATAATTTCCTACCGTTTAACTGAAAATACATGATTCAAAGAATACGATAATAATGGACCATCTAATAGAATAATGACATAAAGATTATATTAATATTTCAAATCGTTTTAATCTATAAAAATTAAGATTGATTACACAAAATGAATTTAAATGGACTTAATCAATAATATTTTTTGCTGAAAAATCTTGAACTTGAATTAAAATGAAAAAAGATACATATCCATGCATTTTAATTATGATTCTTTATAGATTTAGTCAGATTGGCATCATTGTCCGTTTCTCCAGACAACAATCTTTTTGCTTCGACGGATTCTATGGTAACGAAAAACATAACAACTGTTGTAACAACAAGAGAACCGCTTACTGTATCTACCACTTCAATGTCGACAGAAACAACAAACATTCTAAAGAATGAAACAACAGCTTATACATCGACAGAAACAACAAACACCTTACAAAATGAAACAACAACTTCAATGTCGACAGAAACAACAGAAATGTTAACGAATGGAACAGCAGCTACAGGTTTTTTATGGACAGACACAACAAACATCTTAACTAATGGAACAACAGATTCTCTGATTACAGAAACAACAAACATCTTGACAGATGAAACAACATCTACTATGGCAACAGAAGCAACAAACATCTTGACAGATGGAACAACAGCTACTCAAAAGACAGAAGCACCAAACATCTTAACGAATGGAACAACAACTTCTATGACGATAGAAACAACAAACATAATAACGAATAAAACAAAAGCTACAATGGCGACAGAGTTAGCAAAAATCTTAACGGATGGAAAAACAGCTACAATGCCGACAACAAACATCATAACGAATAAAACAACAGCTACAACGTCGACAGAAACAACACAAATGTTAACGAAGGGTACAACAATTACCGTAACGAATAAAACAACAGCTACAATGCCGACAGAAACAACAAACATCTTAACGAATAAAACAACAGCTACAATGCCGACAGAAACAACAAACATCTTAACGAATAAAACAACAGCAACAATGCCGACAGAAACAACAATGCCGACAGAAACACCAATACCACAACGAATAAAACAACAGCTACAATGCCGACAGAAACAACAAGCATCTTAACGAATAAAACAACAGTTAATATGTCGACAGAAACAACAAGTATCTTAACGAACGGAACAACAACTACAATGTCGACAGAAGCAACAAGCATCTTACCGAATGGAACAACAGCTACAATGTCGACAGAAACAAAAGACATCTTAACGAATAGAACAACAAGTACTATGCCGACAGAAACAACAATTATCGTAACGAATAAAACAACAGCAACAATGCCGACAGAAACAACAAGCATCTTAACGAATAAAACAACAGTTAATATGTCGACAGAAACAACAAGTATCTTAACGAACGGAACAACAACTACAATGTCGACAGAAGCAACCAGCATCTTACTGAATGGAACAACAGCTACAATGTCGACAGAAACAAAAGATATCTTAACGAATGGAACAACAAGTACTATGCCGACAGAAACAACAATTATCGTAACGAATAAAACAACAGCAACAATGCCGACAGAAACAACAAGCATCTTAACGAATATAACAACAGTTAATATGTCGACAGAAACAACAAGTATCTTAACGAACGGAACAACAACTACAATGTCGACAGAAGCAACAAGCATCTTACCGAATGGAACAACAGCTACAATGTCGACAGAAACAAAAGACATCTTAATGAATGGAACAACAAGTACTATGCCGACAGAAACAACAATTATCGTAACGAATAAAACAACAGCAACAATGTCGACAGAAACAACAAGCATCTTAACGAATAAAACAACAGTTAATATGTCGACAGAAACAACAAGCATCTTTCCGAATGGAACAACAGCTACAATGTCGACAGAAACAAAAAAAATATCTTACCGAATGGAACAACAAGTACTATGCCGACAGAAACAACAAATTCCTCAATGAACGGAACAATAGCTACTTTGCCGACTGCAACAACAAACACCATAAGAAATGGAACAACAGATAGTGCGAAACACAACGGAGGTTATATTTTTCTTCTAACATATTTACATATCAGTTCTTTTCATACCTTTCGTTCAGGCGTTTAATCATTTATACTAAGTTATGCCCTTTGTTATGTTATGTTTTAATATTTGACAAAGGAAATGCTAGTAAATGTTTGAATAGGTTTTAAAAACTAAACTATTCTGATTATGAAGGTTTCAGAGAAATATACAATTTATAATCCCGCTTAGTTTGATTAAGAGCTTAATAACATTGGCCATTTTAGGGAATAAGCAATAATATAAAATAAGTCAAACTTCATATATAAAAATATATGCTAAATTTCATATTTTTGTAGTTTTTTTTAAATATTTACACATAAATTGACATTTTGGTTGTATTGAAAATATTATATTTTAATTGTTCTTTTCCAGTTTTTATAGAATGGATCACTTTGATTCTTGTTCTTGGTTGTTTTATAATTGCCATCGTTGCATGTGGGGGAATATGTTGTTATTTATGTCTTTGGCGCCGACATCAAAGAAACTCATATGTAAGTAATTAAGGCAATGACATATTTATCTTTTTATCTAAATATTATACACATATTTTATATATTTCAATGTAATTATCCATAGAAATTGATATTTTGATAATGATAACGTTTTATCATGTCGAATGGTATTTCAATATACATTTATACTTTCAGGAAACGAATGTAGGAAACAAGGAGAACGAAGATAGAGAAGTATATGGGCATAAAAAACCAGTTGCACACAATTCACCATCCCCTAGCAATACCCCTCAATTTCGAGGAGGGCGGTTCTATTTACGTAAATCAAAACAACGTAAACATGTAAGAGAAACATTTATTGGAAATGCCTATATTCCACAGGACAATGACCAACAATATTCGAGTTCTAGAGTTAAATCTTCCAAACACAGTACGGTGTCGTCCACAAGTTCCGATTATCTTTCTGTAAGAGAATCTAGAAGCACACAAAATACTTGGACCTATAAATATAACTAAAATGGTTAAAGTATCTATACCATTAAAAATACAGATAAACACACACACGCGCTCGCGCGTTCACGCACCCACGCACGCACGTGAAAACTGAATTTTTGTTGATTCTAACATAATTATATCAAATTCATTTATGTGACTATATGTGTTGTTCTTATAATTAATAGAAAAATAACAAAAGAATTAATGTTAACCGTATAAGATATGGAAAAGGTTTCAGAAACCTTAAATGTTTTGTACACTTCATATATATCTTTTGATGTACACTTGTTTATAGAATGATACACTGGTATAACATTTAAAGAATTGCAATTTAAAGTAATTTAAACATTTGAATGTCCATTATTGTTAAATTATTATTATAATCTTTATACACTCTTTGATTGTAACATTTGTTTCATCTACACATGTATTTATTTTTTTTTTTAAATCATGTTAAGTTTGAAAAGGATTTAATTAATATTGACAGATAAACATAACAAAACTTTAATATGTGTTTTCATTTTATCTTGACACACGTTATAAATGAAGTTTTGACTATTAACGCTCTGCAATAGATCATTATTCTTTATCCAAATACTACTCGGCTACAGTCAACCACAAAACCCATTTACTGAATTATTAGTTTTTCATTCTTATTCAAGTCGCTCAAGAATTTGATATCAGTCAATTCAAATCGTTCCCAATCTTTTAATAATTCTATTTGTATGTATTTAAAGTTAAGTAAGTACAAGTAAACGTTCTTTCTCTAAAACTCTATAAACCATATTATAGAGAAACCAATAAATATGTGCATTGATCAAATTGAAGGTCTTTTCTATTATCATGTATGAAACACGTTCTTTTCTCCTTGAGTTATCTTATGAAAGCTAGACAGTCATATAAAAATAGAAAGCAGTATTTGGGGAGCTTACATTATATATTGGTCTGTTTCTTACGTGTATTCTTTTTTTTTTACATCAAAGTACAGTTAATGAAAATGTTGTTATATAGAGTGATTTACTTTCGAAAACTCATTTTCACAATTTTGTTAGTTTATAACTACGATAGAATATAAAACTAAATGTGAAAGAAGCCAATCACTGGATCAAAAACGAAAGTATGTAGGCAATAAGCTGAAACAGAATGTTTCGATTGTGTAGCAATTTTTAATATCATAGACGCCATCTTGAATCTGCTCTGCGAAACAAACCAGTGGTGAGCGATGAGTGTAAAAATCCCTTCTACAGGAAACAACAGCTTATCCATGGCCGGGGATGGCGAGGGGTTTACGAAATCCATGGGTGTTTTGAGTACAATTAAATTACTACATTATTCTATAAAGAACCTTATGATGAACCCTACAGTCTCTAACACTGAAACTGTGTTAGTGTGCTGTAAAACCAAACAAAACAACAAAAATAATTCTATTTAAGTTTAAAGCGTCTAAATTATTTTCAGTTTTGAACATTAAAAGGATTCTTCTGCAAAAATATTGACACTGCGAACGATTTGAAATGTGCATACAAAATATTTGGCCACACCTGCATGAAATGAAACACAAATCTCGAAAACAAGTTACCAGTCACGTCATGTCAAAAGATCCCGGTTGTTTCCCTTTTCTTTATTATTTGTTCACCTTTCTCGAAATTAAATCTGACATATTTCTTAATACTGTTCTTATGTATCTGAAAAATTAAATTAAAGACTATGTTCTGTTATGTTTTTCATAAAAGATTTAAGGCAAATGATACAGATAATATTAATCTAAACACTTCAAAGGAAAACGTCATATAACTAAGAGACGCAATTGAAAACTTTTTGCAGTTTTATTTCTCGCATTGGATCCAAGATTGTACAATTTACTCAGCTAACATTTACGAAATATAGTCAAAGCATTCTCGGACTGGGACGCGAAATCTCAAAATGTTGACAATGATTCTTCATATGTAGTCGAATCCCGTTAGTCTGCATTGTTTGATACATTTATTTATACTCGAGTATTACCATTTCTTAAAATATTCATTTTTGAGACAGCGATAATCCGAGACTCGGGGCTCTTTAGAAATGTTAAACATTTCAGTCTCATTTCTTCTTAACGAAACTTCAATTATTTCAAACAAAATTTCGCTTAAACGTAATGAAAATGAATATGATGTTAAAGAAACGTGTTATCTCTAATCTGTCTCTCATTTTTTGTTTCGACAATGAAGTTTTAAAGCATCGCAAAAATGTACGACGCGCAAAATTCGAAGCCTGTAATATAATGATAATAATGAATACAATCTTTATCTAGAGAAAGTTACAAAGTTTACACAGGGGACATGCATACTTATTTTTGACGGCTTTAGATTTAACAATAACAAAGAAAAAGAATGATAATTGTTAAAAAAGGAAAATACTTGCAGATCTATACAAACAGATATTATATAATCTTCAATGTAAAGGTAAGATATTTTCATTCATTCACCCGACTGACACTCGTATTTATCATAATTATTATTATAGATAAACTAATAATGATTTAACCCTTTCCCTCATGAGCATATAGTAAAAAATGGCCGTTTTCACTGAAAAGCCTCCTGTTACAAGTTCAAACTGCTATGAAACTATGAAAAATGTTTCAATACTAATCAAACTTGGCACAAATGTTGACTGAACCATTGCCTTTGTAACGACATGCTCAGTCTTAAATTTCCTGTTACCATGGCAACGAGGGGACATCTCAAAATTGCCAAAAATCACTTTTTTGCTTCGATTTTTTTCATCAAAATTTATTTCAAAGTGCTGCAACTTCTCAAGGGATTGAGATAGAGTCAAAGGCTTTTCAGCGTTTGTTACACGTCACCTTATGATCGACATGGGGTCATTTTTAGCCTCTCACCACAAATCCAAAATTTTCTTGGCGATGAGTGGGACTCCGCCCCCTTCAAACCCCCAAACAGAAGAGGGCTCATCCTGGCAACCCCTGATGTATCTTTTGGATGGGGGCGGTGCCGAAAAAGTGCTCACTTTTTTTAGCAATATTTCTCAAACTAAAACATGTGTTTGGGACCCAAATAGGACATTTTTCACTATTTCAGGCTTAAAAAAGGGGGGGGGGGGTCGAAAGCGCGTTGTTTCGCGTATATATGAGGTAAAGGGTTAAAATGTAATAAATATCAACATTAACAACAGTTACAATATATAGTGGTCAATTTTCATCATGTAATCTAATTGTAAAATTATAAAAATGATTTAACAGCAGTTTTTGAAAAATTGTAATGTCAAGCATTTTTGATAGTAATAATTTATTAATTCCAATCATCAATACTGAAATAGGAAAAAGAATTATTTGAATAATAAGTAGGAATAGTTTTCAGAACAAGATTCTTATGAGAGATTGAGCGAAAATATGTAATTCATTGTGAAAGAAACTAAATATGTCTCTCATATACATATATAACGGTGCCAACTTGTTTAAAGATTTATAAACCATTATTGCCGTGAGCTATTTCACCTTAAAATTGAATTTGAGACATTAAAGTTTATTAAAAAGATATTCTGTTTGTGAATGTATCGGGCGGATAATTATTATTGGCAAATCTTTTTCGGATTGAATTTACTTTATAGATATATGAATTTTTACCCCTTCCCAATACCCTACAACAATTATAAACCACTGGAAAGATGTATGCGTTATAATATAGTTTGTACCTTATACATGTATATTAATAGTTTAGAGAATAGTTCTGGACATGCATCATTTAGTAATTTGTTGGTTTAAATAATTATTTAAATATCCAATAGTAAATATGTTTACACATAACTTTAACATAATTATAAACATCAGTATTCCACAGTTTGGTTTAACTTAATTTGTAACGATGACCATTCCAGCTTTGAAGATTCTTTTGTTAACTTAATAGAGCCTAACGACAACAAAATACTGCACGGAACGCATGGTGATAAATAATTAAAAACAAGTGTGCAGTGAGCTTTGAATCTTTTTATGCTGTACACTATTTCTTCTTTGCATGCTTATATGATATTGAATGTTTTCTTCTATGCTTCAATGATATTTGAATGTTTATGCTGTGCACTATTTCTTCTATGCATGCTTCAATGGTATTGAATGTTTTCTTCTATTCTTCAATGAAATTTGAATGTTTATATGCCGCAAACTATTTCTTTTATGTTTTAATGGCATTTGAATGATATATGCCGTACACTATTTCTTCTATGCTGAATGACATTTGAATGTTTAAATGCTGTTCAATATTTCTTCTATGCTCAATGAGATTCGAATGTTTACCTGCTGTACAAAATTTCTTCTATGCATGATTCGATGATATTTGAATGAGTTATTATTAGTTCATTCTACACGGCTAAAAATATATACAGGGAATTCATGCAATAGTTTGGAAAGACAAACTTATAAAATTAAACTTTTATTAATGTTCAGCGTTGCTGTTTTATTAATAAATAAGTGTTTACAAATAAATTTGAAATGAAATGGAGTTATTTGCAAGGATATTACTCAAAACAACGATTTTAGTGTTTCATCTTAGTAAGTATACTTAAACCAAAGTCCACAAACAATGCAAAATTTGTGATATCTTTCAGTCTCACATGGGTTCGAACTTTAAGCCTAGTAAGACGATTAAGTGAGCTAAAACCTTTTGAGACCAGCCGTTTTTTTAAAAGGATTAGATTTTTTTCTTAAATACATTTTAAAATTATCGTCCAATAATGAAATGAAAACAAAAATTACTTCATAAATCATTAACATTAAAGTTAAGGACCATCGTGGCAGCACGAATCATAAATATAATTCGTCTGAAATTATTTAGTAACATCTGTTATTGTCTTCATTCCCGGAGCTTTCCAAACCTTGGTAATTAGACAATAATTAGATTTGAATATAGATTTCAAAGAAATCCCGTAAATGACATAAGGATATAAATTAAATATACAATGTACTTGAGTTATTAAAAGGAATTGAAGACGCATGTCCTTGCTGTATTATCATATAGTATCGTATTTCAAAATATTGACTTTGCAGATTCAGTTTATATCAAAGTAAATATAAAATATAAACGGACGTTTTAAGATATATTTTTTGTTCATGCCACGGTTTATCACAATGTAATCACAATGCAAGTAGATTATATTCCTACCGTGAAATTGAATTTCTTTAATCAACTTCAAGGAATATGACAATAATGAATCATCTAATAAGATTACTACATAAATTTCTGTTTCAAATAGTTTTAACATGTCAAAATTATAAACACATATACAAAAATGAACAAAAGATACATATATTTGCATCTTAATCATTACCTTTTTATAGATTTTGTCAAATTGGCACCGACGTCTGTTGCTACAGACAACAATCATCTTACCTCGACGGATTATATGGTAACAGGTGATATTTCAACAGAGATAGCAAGAGAATCGTTTACTAAATCTACCACAGCAAGAGTATTTCACAGTTCAACAACCATACAACCTGACTTAATAGTGTCAAATGCTAGTGTTACAAAACCTTCGAAATCAACAGGATCAATGATGAATAATCCGACTACTATGCGATCAACAGAACATCGAGTATCAGTTACACAAGCGATAGCAAGTGGGAGTACAGATGTTCAGCCAACAAAAACAACAACTATCATTATAAATGGAACTATGGCAAGAGTATTTAACACAAACGAAACAACAGTTACTCAGCCGAGACAGACAACTCCATCAACAACGCATATACTTACAGCTACTATAACAACAGCAACACCAGTATTAAAAACAAACATAATAACAGATAAACAGCCAAAGGAAACAACAGTATTTAAAACAACTGGAATTCCATCTACTGAACTGACAGAAACAAGCCATATGAAATCAATCGAAACTACTACACAGCCGACAGAAACAGCTGTATTAAATACGAATGGAACTACACGCAATGTGTCCAAAGAACCAACAGATTTCAACACAAATATAACTACAACTACTAAGTCGACAGGAACAAAAACAATCTTAACGAATGAAATAACACATTATATTATGTCGACAGAAACAACAAATATCTTAACAAATAGAACAACAACTACTATGCCGACAGAAACAACAAACTTCTTACCAAGTGAAACAACAGCTGCCATGTCGACAGAAACAACAAATATCTTAACGAATAGAACAACAACTACTATGCCGACAGAAACAACAAATATCTTACCAAATGAAACAACAGCTACTATGCCGACAGAAACAACAAACTTCTTACCGAATGAAACAACAGCTACTATGCCGACAGAAACAACAAACTTCTTACCGAATGAAACAACAGCTACTATGCCGACAGAAACAACAAACTTCTTACCAAATGAAACAACAGCTACTATGCCGACAGAAACAACAAACTTCTTACAAAATGAAACAACAGCTACTATGCCGATAGAAACAACAAACTTCTTACCAAGTGAAACAACAGCTGCTATGCCGACAGAAACAACAAATATCCTAACGAATGAAACAACAGCTACTATGTCGACAGAAACAAAAAACATCTTAACGAATGAAGCAACAGCTACTATGCCGACAGAAACAACAAACATGTTACCAAATGAAACAACAATTACTGTGACGACAGAAACAACAAACTTCTTACCGAATGAAATAACAGCTACTATGACGACTGAAACAACAAACTTCTTACCAAATGAAACAACAGCTACTATGCCGACAGAAACAACAAACTTCTTACCAAGTGAAACAACAGCTGCTATGTCGACAGAAACAACAAACATCTTAACGAATGAAACAACAACTACTGTGACGACAGAAACAACAAACACGTTACCGAATGAAACAACAGCTACTATGCCGACAAGAACAACAAACCTTTTACCGAATGAAACAAGAGCTACTATGCCGACAGAAACGACAAACATCTTAACGAATGAAACAACAACTACTGTGACGACAGAAACAACAAACATGTTACCGAATGAAACAACAGCTACTATGCCGACAGAAACAACAAACATCTCACCGAATGAAACAAGAGCTTCTATGCCGACAGAAACAACAAACATGTTATCGAATGAAACAACAGCTACCTTGACAACAGAAACAACAAATATCTTACCGAATGAAACAACTGCTACAATATCGACAGAAACAACAACAAACTTCTTATCGAATGGAACAACAGCTTCTTTGTCGGCAGAAACAACAAACATCTTAACGAACGGAACCACAATTTCTATGTCGACAGAAACAGCAAATATCTTTACGAATGAAACATTAGCTACTATGCCGATTGGAACAACAAACACAACAAGAAATGGAATACCACATAATACAAAAGAAAAAGGAGGTTTTATTTTTATTCTAACATTTTAGATAAAAGTACTTTTTATCAATTTCGTTCATTTGATTTAATCATTTACATTAAGTTATTTCCTGTATGTTTTAATATTTGAATATGTTTCAAAATTAAAACCTATTCTGATTATGAAGGTTTGAAAGAAAGACACAATTTATAACTCCGTTTAGTTTGATTAAGATCTTAATTAAATTGGGCATTTTAGGCAAGTAGCAATAATATAAAATTAGTCATAACTTCGTATATGCTTAATTTCAAATTATTAGAATCTTTTTTATTGTTTACACATAAATTCACCGCCATTATTGACGTTTTGGTTATATTCGTAAATATAATCTTAAATGTATTCTTTTCCAGTTTGGATAGAATGGGTTACTTTGATTCTTACTATTACTTGCATTGTAATTGTATGCATTTTAATTGTTGGAATATGTTATGGTCGATTTCTATGGCGCCGATATCACAGGAAATATGTAAGTAATAAATGACATATTTATTTCTATCTTAAAATATATAAGTATTTTATATTGTTCAATGAAATAAGCCAAATTAATTTGATATATTGATATAATAACTGTTATGTTATGTTGTATATTTGAATTAATTCTATACCTTCATGAAACGGAAAGAAAACGACAGAAGGAAACAAGCTGAACGAAGACAAAGAAGCACCTAAGCCCAATTCACTTACCTCTAGCAATACCCCACAACTCCGAGAAGGGCGGTATAAACGTAAATCAAAACTACGTAAAAATGTACAAGAAACATTTTTTGCGAATGACAATATTTTACAGGACAGTGACCAACAAGATTCGAGTTCTAGACTTAAATCTTCAAAACACAGTACGGTGTCGTCCACATTTTCCGATTTTGTTTCTGTAAGAGAATCTAGTAGTGCACAAAATTCTTGGACCTATACTGATATAGATATAACTAATTTAAAAGTGGTTTAAATATCTATAGCATTCAAAACCAAATAAACACATGGAAATTAAGGATAATAACAATGCCTGGTGGTTCATTGTAATGTGTATCATATGATACATTGCCTAGTATGATAAAAAATTAGTATTCATTGGAAACTTAAACAAATTGGAGAATGTTTCTTTTAACCAGACAATCAGAATGTCTCAAAAAGCCGGGTTATAATGTGATAACATTTATCTTAATATATGTTTATTATTTTAATTCTAGTAGGTAATAATCTTGTACTGTTGTATCATTGGTGTGTTTCAATTACATTTTCTACAAGCAAAAACTCCCACCCATGTGTATGGGAGACAAATATCCGTTTCAATTTGTTTTTGTAGAAATAGATCTGAATCAATTTTGTTTCTAACATTATTATATGGAATTTAGATTGTGTGACTATATGTGTTGTAGAAACATATAAAAAAGTCACTGTAAATGAATATGGAAACACCCTTAATTTTGTTTACACTTCATATAAATATGAAATATATATATATATATATATATATATATATATATATATATATATATATATATATATATATATATATACATCTTTTGATGCATAATTGTCCCCGCCATTTCGAAGAAAAAAGGGGGATATAGCTATAGGCTCCGTCCGTCTGTCCGTCTGTTTATTTTGAAATATATATTTCATAAAACATAGTACAAAATCGTTATTTGTGTTTAAAGTTGGTGCGACCTCGTGATATCTGGGTTGTCTTTCATTGGAAACCCTTAAATGACAAGAGTTAAAAGATATGCGTTAACAATACATATAAATAAAATACGTCGTGTTGGTATTATATTTCATAATGATGAAGGCAATTACATTGAAATAGCATTCAACTGATAAAATTAAAGATATACTATGCTAAAATTTAACATTTGAAAATATTGATCATTGTTACACTTCCTTTTTAAGATATAGAATATTTATAACATAAACATGTTTTGACATTTCACAAAGTAGATATGTTTCAATTCAACACGCTATAGGAGTGTCATTAAAAAGAACCTGGCAGCTCTTTTTAAAGATCCTGTAACACATTTTTATGGTTTTATATAAACAATATGATGCTCAAATAAAGATTTATCAATATTATAAGTTCCAAAAAGCATTATTTATAAAGATATTACCAAATTTAATATTTCATGCAAATAGAGGGAGATAATTAGAAATTTATTTCTATAAATTCTAAAACTAATTTTCCAATAAGAAATGAATGCATATAATATAATGATTACATTTAATATGTACAAATATTTGCAGTCCATATTTTACATATTCTTCGATGTTTGAAAATTGTTGTATTAGCATAATTATATACATATATAATTTCACATAAGAGTGGTATACAATCTCAATTACAAAACATACAGGAATTTAAAAAAAATACCAACTATACGTGATCGGAAGAGGTGAACGCAGCTTCCCATACATAGTTTATTTGTGTTAAATTCAAATTAGACAAATTTATTTAATTTAATTTAGACACATTTACTAAGAATTTCATAGATTTTAATAATATTTTGTGATTAAAATATATACTCAAGGATGAGTATAAAGTATATATTTATATATATTCATTCTTTTAGATAGAACTTAAAGGTAAAATATATATTTTTCGGTCCAGTTCGTATTATGGTATGGTATCGTCCGAACGTCTATTCAAAGTTAACTTTCCATACGTTCGAGAAAATCATAATTAAATAGAAGCAAAATTCAATCTTCATTCATTGCGACTGTCATAATCAATGTGTTTTAGAAATAATTCAGCAACGACGATAACAATTAACACAGCACACAATGCGAAGACTATCAATAAATGCGTATGAGTAAAACTAAATAAATACATTATGTGAATGCAGTAAATTTTGCTGGCATTGAAGTCGCGGTTTTGACACAAAGGAAATTTGTGTTGGTTCTTGAATTCATAAATGATCTGTTTAAGCTAAATAGTAAAATACTTATGATGTTACACAAAATAATCTTTCGTCTTTCGTTTCATAATAACTTCTTGGATTGATTTATCAACAAAAAGATCACAAAAATTAGTGTCCGACAAAAAAATAAAATAATTTTGAAGTTATTATATTTTTTGAAACCTCAAATTTTAGTTTAAACATATTTTATTGCATTACATACATGTATACAAACATATCATACAAATGATGAGTATATATCAAAATGCAAATAGGTTGGGCAACAAGTTCTTACAACATTAGATTAAGCCCTTCCCAGAAATTAATTTAACAGAAGAAAATACTTTAAGGCAACAATGATTACTTTTAACATGCATATAAACTTTAAAATATGCATTTCATTTTTTAACAGTTCCTTAAAATTTAATGTACAATTTTGATTTTGAAGTGCGATCAATCCACAGGTTGCCATCCCGATCTCACTGTAGTTGTTAAAATAGTTGAAGTTTGTTTTTTTGGGGAAAGATTGGTAATGAATATTCGTTTTTAAGTAAGTTAGATTAGAACAAATAAGCCAATATAAATGACAAATTTTAGATTAAAAACAAAATGAAAAGTCAAATATTATCAAAACGATGGGTCGTCTTGATAAAGTTTTGAACTGATTCGAAAATGACAACGTTACCTTCGTATTTTAATTTTTCACGACCGAACAATAATGTATCAATGTTCAATGACAATATATTCAAATGTTAAACGAAGAATTTCAACATCAGCATATAACAGGACACTGATATTGAAAAGCTTTTTGAGATATAGAATTGAAATTATTTATTATTTCTTGACAGTAGAAGAAGGAAACATAAATTGATTCTTCTTTATAAGATGAACAAGAGCCATGTCAACATGGCCATCCCCCGCCGAAAGTGTTTGCTCATTGGAAGAACGTTTATATAGTAGAGCAGAATAATTCAAGTTTAAGAGGTCTTTTGGTAATGAAAACTGATGGCTGAAGTGATTACAGATTTGAAACCTATGTGAATACTGATGTCTTAAAATAACAAAGGGCAATAACTGAAAAATAATGCAGAGTAGGTTATCATTCTTGTATGCTGCACCCCTCCTCAGTAAAATCTATCCACCTATGAAGTTTCAAGTTAATACCTCAAATACTTTTTGAGATAAGCTCCGGACAAAATAATATGAAAAATAACAAAGGGCAAAAACTCAAAAATTATATAGGGAAGAGTTTTCATTCTTGGGCACAGCATTCCTCCTCAATAAGATCTATCCACCTATGACATTTCATGTTGACATCTTAAACACTTTTGAGTTATGCTCCACTCAGGTGAAAAATTAAGTATGAAAAATAACAAAGGGCAATAACTCAAAAATTATGAAGGTAGAGTTATCATTCTTGTGCACTGCACTCCTCCTTAATGAGGTCTATCAACCTATGAAGTTTAAAGTTGATACCTCAAATAATTTTTGAGATAAGCTGCGGACAAGATAGTATGAAAAATAACAAAGGTCAATAACTCAAAAATTATATAGGAAAGAGTTATCATTCTTGCGCACAGCATTCCTCCTCAATTAGATCTATCCACCTATGACATTTCATGTTGACATCTCAAACACTTTTTGAGTTATGCTCCACTCAGGTGAAAAATTAAGTATGAAAAATAACAAAGGGCAATAACTCAAAAAATTATGAAAGGTAGAGTTATCATTCTTGTACACTGTACACCTCCTGAGTGAGATCTATGCACCTTTGAAGTTTCATGTTGATATCTCAAAGGCTTTTTGAGTAATGCTCTGGACAAAAATTAATTTTGAAAAATAACAAAGGGCAATAACTCAAAAATTATGCAGAACAGAGTTATCATTCTTGTGCACTGCACTCCTCCTTAATGAGGTCTATCCACTTATGAAGTTTCAAGTTGATACCTCAAATACTTTTTGAGATATGCTCCGGACAAAAATGTCGGACGGAAGGACGGACGGACGGAAGGACGGACGGACGGAGACTATTTCTATATCCCCCGCCGAAAAATGGACTCTCTCCTGTCTACCTCTCAACTATTATCCCTCCGTCTGTAGGTGTAACCACACGTTATCATTTAAGAAATTCGAACGATATACAAGGCATTCACACAAGAACATCTTTACACTAATACGCTTTTCTTCCTTCAGCTCTCAGAGAATGGAATGAACTACCAATTGATGTACAAAATGTACCTACATTATCTGCTTTTAAGTGTCTTTTGATTAGAAACATAAAAAATGTTCAAAATGTTTCTATACAGGTGTTAGAAAATGGCAAATATAGCATGCACGTCTACGAACAGAGTGCAGTTCCCTAAACTACCATCTATACAGAAAAAATATTGTTAACTCACCTCTAGGTCAATGTGGATTGCCAGAAACTAACCATCATCTATTCTTTGAATGCAAACACTACAGTAGTATCAGACACAGCCTTTTCCAAACTCTTTCAGCCTAGTGCAATGTCACTCTTCACACATTTCTTAACGGCGATACAAACTTAAATGACGATATCAATATCAGCATATTTCAGCCAGTTCAAATGTTTATCCGAGACAGCAAACGATTTTCATAGTCTTTGCTACATTGCTCCTCCAATTTTCTAACCAAATAGATCTTCTTATTTTCTTCTACCTATTTAATTAAGTTTCTTTGTGTATCTTAAATTATGAAATTCCAAATTTTATACATTTTAAACAGACAATTATTGCATCGTATATATCAAGTCCCTATTCATACATCTTTGAGATAGAAACTTCTACTCAACGCCCCTTTTTGTTTGTATGCCGCTAATTTGACTTAGAGACGAAAGTGACGAATTTTCTTCATTTTTTTTTAATCTACTAGTATTAACAATTTCTTTTCTACCTAAACTTCAATATTTCATACATTTTCAAAACCCGTCATATCTATAGTAATTAATCTTATGTCAGGAAAAGGCCTTTATAAGCATTTTATGCTTTGGATCTAATCCTTTTTCAGCATTGTATTGTATTATTTCACCATAGTATGTAAATCTTGTATGTGTAAAATTTTCGAAATAAAGTATGTTTAAACTTAAATCATTTACGCGGCTCAATGGGCATAAAGGCCTTAACGAATCTTTGGGTTAACACAATTATTTTCAGTTTTTGTCAGAGCAGCGCCGTTGTCACTTTCCCCATACTACAAACCTTTTATTTCGACAGATTATGTGGTATCGGAAGAAATCCCAAAAGAGGAATCAACAAAAGAACCGTTGACTAAATCTACAACAAAAAAGTAATATCAACAGCACACAGTGCATCAATTTCATAACGGGCAGGTCTTATAGAATCAAAAACTTCGGAATCAAATAAATACTGGTAATGAAACAATTATGCAGTCAACAGAAAATCAAGCATCGGTAACAAAAGCAAGAGCAACAACTCTATCCAGAGCAAGTGAGAGATTTGCTGTTCAGCCAACAGAAACAACAAA